GCAAACTTTTCACATTAACTTCTTAAGAACCACTGGGCCAGTTTCAACCAATTTACATTTAAATATGCAGGGGACTTTTTCCAACATAAATCTTCTTCTCAAGAACAGCAGAGACATTTATTGTCCCCCATTTTCGCTAAGGTAGGGTACATTAAATCTCATTTGTTTATCAATCTGCCCATCTGTCACAATAAATTTAACCTTGCAATTGGTCATCATGGTCGTATATTTTGAATGAGAAGAGACAGGACTTTTATATTAAACATGTGTATTAGTATTAAATGTGACAATACCATTCTAAATACACTATGATTTTTATTACCCATGACCTTGAAGTTTGACCTAATTTCATAAACAAATTAATTGCTTTGAATTAATCATTTTGAAAGATAAATGAAAGGGCATTCATATTACCTGTGATAAGACCTTTCCAAATGTATCATGACTTTTTGACTCTGTGACCTTGACCTTGAAGTTTAACTTAGTTTTCATTAATGTTGTATTTCCTTTTCATTGAGAAGAGATTTGACTTTCACATTTCAAGTGAACATTACCCATAACAAGATGTTTCCCAACATGCTATGATTTTTTACCCCTTGACCTTGATGTTTTAACAAAATTTCAAAAGAGTGAACTCTCCCAAAAGAGGATAAGACCACTGTTTAAAACGAAAAAGGAGTTTAGGGAAGACTGGGCTTTTTCCATAAAAAACGTCATTTTTCGACCCTCATTTGACCCCCCGGGCAAAATCAAAATTCCGAAACCTAACTGCACATCTACATGACCCCACCAACCATCTCCCAAAAGATGATTAGGCTGCTGAATAAAATATAAGAGGAGTTCAGGGAAGATGGGGCTTTTAGCATAAAAAACGTCATTTATCGACCCCCATTTGTCGACCCCCTGGGGCAAAATCAAAATTCAGAAACCTTAATACACATCTGCATGACCCCACCAACCATCTCCCAAAAGATGATTAGGCTGCTGAGTAAAATGTAAGAGGAGTTCAGGGATGAAGGGTCTTTTTGCATTAAAAAAGTCATTTTTCGACACCCATTTGACCCCCCAGGGCAAAATCAAAATTCCGAAACCTTACTGCACATCTACATGACACCACCAACCATTTCCCAAAAGATGATTAGGCTCCTGAGTAAAATGTAAGAGGAGTTCAGGGAAGACGGGGCTTTTTGCATAAAAAACATCATTTTTCGACCCCCATTTGACCCCCCGGGGCAAAATCAAAATTCCAAAACCTTACTGCACATCTACATGACCCCACCAACCATCTTCCAAAAGATGATTAGGCTGCTGAATAAAATGTAAGAGGAGTTCAGGGAAGACAGAGATTTTTGCTTAAAAAACGTCATTTTTCGACCCCCATTTGACCCCCTGGGGCAAAATCAAAATTCCGAAAGCTTACTGCACATCTACATGACCCCACCAACCATCTCCCAAAAGCTGGTTAGGCTGCTGAGTAAAATGTAGAAGGAGTTTAGGGAAGACGGGGCTTTTTGCATAAAAAACATCATTTTTCGACCCCCATTTGACCCCCCGGGGCAATATCAAAATTCCAAAACCTTACTGCACATCTACATGACCCCACCAACCATCTCCCAAAAGATGATTAAGCTACTGTGTAAAATGTAGGAGGAGTTCAGGGAAGAAAAGTGTGACAGACGGACGGACGGACGGACATGAGTAACAACAATATACCCGAACTTTCTTTAGAAAGTGCGGGTATAATGAAATGAAAAATTTATGAGGTTATAAAATCATCATTACAATGTGATAAATATTCCATATAAAAAAATCTTCTATACACATAATAAAGATTAAGCATTGAATCAAATCTTTATATGCATATTGACATACATGCATTTTATTTGCTTCAGTATACATGTATACATTTTTAAAATAATTCTACAAATTCAGTCAGGGGGAGCCGACTTTTTCCCTAAGCGCCTAAAGCGGGGGACACGAATTCTCTGAATTAGCTTGTTATATACTACAGTCAAAAGCTTTTGGGTACCTTATTTCTATCTTTTGACCGTATTATATACTGCAGTCAAAAGCTTTTGGGTTCCTTATTTCTATCTCTTGATTGATCGGTCTCTGAGTGAATACTTCAACATGTATATTCTGTTTTTACAAGCACTCTATATATAATACATGTCTATTTGTCGTGACTGTTGTTTATTGAACACCTGGTGTTTATTTATGTAGAATCTGTTAACAAGATCGTCATTTACTCTTATAATTACCTGAGACATTTCTCTGGTATTACGTAAAGACAATTTTTTTTCTCCTTTATGAGCGACAAAATGAAAACTAATGAGAGAATTGGGAATAATTGTGTAACTGATATTCCGCAGATAGAACGAGAAATACAACGTCGATTTTCGCGTGGGCTTTAAACAAAAATAAGAAAGCATAATGATCAACAAAAAGTCATTAGGATTTGGTTTTGACAAATATTTAAAACAATATATACGAGGGCTGTTCAATAAATAATGTCCTGAACTGTTTGACATACAATACCGATATCATATGACATTAAACTTAATTGACTTTCTCTGATTATTGAATCTTTACTGAATTTATAACAGTTTATGTGACCACTTTTCATCACATAGTTTCATCGTGAGAAGCTGGGAAATAAGGGCTGTTCGAGACACTGCATTATAAATGAATGGTAAAGAATCGGTAAACTAGAGTGAAAATATATGGTACATTAAAGCTGCTGTAAAACTTGTTAAAATCCCAAAGAAATATTCAATGAAATATGTGACATTTGCAGCAACCGATGCCTGTTTTCTAGACAAATGAGCAGGTGGATTTCAATGATGAGAAATTATATAATGGGCATCAAAGATGGGTACCCTCCTTGCCAACAAAAAAAAACAACTTATGTACTATTGGCCAAATTTCAACATATAATATTTGATGATGTATGATTGGTTTAAGATACATAGCAAATTTGATAGACATCATATCGGGAGTAGTTTACACTGTTTTTAAGAAACATTTGACAGTAAAAAAGCTTGATACTCAAAGGTCACCCTATATTTTGAAAAATAAGTGAAAACGACAGCGTGTACGAAAGACTTAATAATTATTTTAAAGTATCAGTAATTGTAATTATCCACGTTTGTTTTATACTCAAACAGATATTGGAACATGAATCTTTTGCTTAAAACCATCAAAACAAAATTTACCATAAGATGCACTTGATAAAAACGGCGAAGATCGGACAAGAGCAAAGGTATGCAAGAGCACAAAGACAGATTAATATGCAATTTTCTTAAATATTGGTGGTATAGTTGTTCAAATTCGTATTCGGGGAGACAGTTTAATATCTGGAGGAGTCTAGAAAGCAATTTTTTTGCAAGAAAATCAAAAGGTTTATTAGAGGAAGGACCTTGAATCAGGAATCCACTGCATTGAATTTCTTCACGACAGCGTCCAAACCCGCATGTCCTGAAAAGTAAAGGGGTTTTCGGGATAAACAGAAAGTTAATGTTTTTCACATTAACAATATTTGCCAGATCTTTGACCTTTTGACTTGTTTCTATTCCCAAACTTTAATATTTACATCCACTGAATATTTTTTTCTGGATTCAGAATCTTCTGGAAAAGTTCTTTCATTATATAATTAAACATTTTAAATGTAGATCAGAAGTTGGGGACTATGAAAAATATTCAGAAATAGCTTTTTTCTCAATTTTAAAGAAATTTTCAAGATTTTTCGCAATTCATGACGTCATGAAATGGACTATTGAGAAAAAAAAATGCGAACTACTTTTCGTTGATATGTAGTTAATAAGGATAGTTCTTGATTTACATTATTCTACTGACAGAAAAAAATACTGATTTTTTTTTTTAAAAATAGCAACTAAAGACAAGAATGAGTTTAATCCCAGGTATTATTTTATTAAATTTTATCAAAGTTTCAAATGATTAAATATTTATAGGGATTGTTACAGAAAGGTAGAATTTGAAAATCATAGACAGTTTTAAAACTGTTCTTAATATTTCGCATTATTTTACACAAAATTGAGTTTAAAAAAAGTGGAGGCAGGGTAAAGGTTATTTTCAAAAGTAGGTCGTGTTTCAGGGTCAAGGTTAGCTTCATGATTCCAAGAATCGTATATAAAAGTTAAGGTAAAAGATTTTCTTGAGTAGAAGAAACTCAAAGGTCCAAAGGTTAAATTGTTGGTAAATGTGTTCTTGTTCCCTTAGAAAAAGCATGTAACACACATGTCAGGCACGTAGCAACGGGGGGGGGGGGCCTTTTTTTCAAGACATGTTTACTATTGAAAATGTTCATTGAAAGGCTCATTGCCCCTCCCCCGACTTGTTGCAACTGTATTCTGAAATAAGGGTATTGTAGAAATTTGGAGCAAATAATCAGTTTGGTTTTGAAAGAAATTGGTATTGAAAAAGTTGGCCAAATGTGTTAAAGTACGTTAAGAAAGAATACACAATCATGAGAAATAGGAAGCTCTAGCACCAACCATTTAAAGAATATGGGCAACGTTATTCATAAATCTATTGCATAATACATGAATATTTTGCTACCAAAAAATCTTGATTATGAGCTTTATCATAATTTAAACTTTTAAAGGATTTTCGCTCTTTTTTTTTTTCGAAAAATACTACTAACATAAAAGCATAAAAAAGAGTATAAGATTATTGACCATCATATAATAGTGAAAACAGACAACAATCGTAGTCGACAATGTATGGCAGAGTAATCCGAGTCAAAAGATCCCCCCCCCCCCCCCCGGTCTTTGATCCAAGTTTGAGAAAAATGTTTTATAAGTCCTAACATAAAAAAATTGATAATTTGAAATATTTCATTGACATGATCAACGTTTTTGCTTTTAGTTTAGGACGATTTTTTTAAAAATTAGGCTATTTATATTTTTTGTTCAAAATTACAATCGAATGAAATATGAACGATTTATCAATATTAAACCGGTTCCCATTTCATTAGATAAACTGGTTGTCTCAGAGTTCACACGGAATGTAAGTTCACTGACTTCACACTCGCCTAGTGTCAACAACATCGATCGAGACCGTAGATACGATGGCCATACTACCGCTCTGGTCATATGTCTAAATTCTGTCGGATGATAAGGATTAAAACGCAATGCCGGAAAAACCACTGACATACAGGAAAACTTGGCAGATGAGAAAAAACTTTGTCGGGTAAGTAAACTGTTCTGAAGTGTTTCCCCCAGTTTGTCAGTGAAATGAATTAAGCTTGGTATAACTGGTATAACTATGCCTCATAATAAAAGTTCAGGTATAATATGACGTTAAAGTCGGAAGTGACATAGTGTCAGAGTCTGTTTGCTCTTGCTGTCACTTTGACCGACTCTGTCAGTATGCGTCCACTTCCGGTCATTTTTGTTATGAAACGTCTGGCATTAATTCATTCATTAACTTAATAATAAGGGTCCACGGAAATTTAAGGCAGCAAATAATGTTTATGACTCAAATTACTTACAAGTAAGTCAAACAAAAATATTAAGACATCTGATTTCTGCTCAAAAGCTACTCTTGAGCTTAATTTTGTAAATAAAAATCTATCAGATGAGATAGGATGCCATAAACGGTTCTATTCTAATAATGATATATTTTATAAAGATATTCACTGTGGAGTGCCTATAATTTCTGTTTTGCTGCATCAAATGTGGCAAGAATCTTAGTGAGATTCATAGAGAAGAAAAATTTTAGTTCTCTCTTAGAGAGACATCAGACCAAAATTTTTTGTCTGTACTAATAGTAGTGAAACGGTTCACCTTGGTATCGATTCACCGCAGTATTTTTCCTCAATTTGATACACAGTACAAAATCTCTTTTTTCGGTTCGGTTCTTTTTTCAGTACGGATCGTCATTCAGCTGGGTTTTGCATAAGGTATAAACATGCTCCTCTGTATAATTAGTTAAAAACATATTTCTGTAGACTGATAGTTTGTAAAATAATTTTTAACAGTCAGATCAATTAAATTGATTTCTTCAAACCATTTTGCACTCAAATTCTTTGACTAGATTAAGTACAAGAGGCCCATGGGCCACATCGCTCACCTGAGAAGCTTTGACCATTCTGTTCTTTACCAGATTTCCCCCTTGTTATACATAATGCATCCCCACCCTACCCCCCTGATCATAATTTAGACAATTTGAAATCTACACTTCCCCATGATCCTTCCATGGGCACATATGTTTCAGCTTTTTTGGCCCAGTGGTTCCTGAGAAGAAGATTTTCAAAGATTTTTCCTATATATTTCTATGTAAAACTTTGATTCCCTATAATGGCCCTGCCCTTCCCCCGGGGGTCATGATTCCTACTATTTAGAATTTACACTATGCTTCCACATAAGCTTCACTTTTTAAGGCCCAGTGGTTCTTGAGAACAAGATTTTCAAAGATTTTTCCTATATATTCAATATAAAACTTTGATTCCCCATTGTGGCCCCGCCCTTCCCCCGGGGGTCATTATTTGAACAATTTAGAATCTACATTATACCAGGATGCTTCCACATAAGTTTCAGCTTTTCTGGCCCAGTGGTTCTTGAGAAGAAGATTTTCAAAGATTTTTCCTATATATATCTATGTTAAACTTTGATTCCCCATTGTGGCCCCGCCCTTCCCCCGGGGGTCATTATTTGAACAATTTAGAATCTACATTATTCCAGAATGCTTCCACATAAGTTTCAGCTTTTCTGGCCCAGTGGTTCTTGAGAAGAAGATTTTTAAAGATTTTTCCTATATATATCTATGTAAAACTTTGATTCCCCATTGTGGCCCCGCCCTTCCCCCGGGGGTCATGATGTGAACAATTTAGAATCTACACTATACCAGGATGCTTCCCCATAAGTTTCAGCTTTTCTGGCCCAGTGGTTCTTGAGAAGAAGATTTTCAAAGATTTTTCCTATATATTTCTATGTAAAACTTTGATTCCCCATTGTTGCCCCGCCCTTCCCCTGGGGGTCATGATGTAAACAATTTAGAATCTACACTATACCAGGATGCTTCCACATAAGTTTCAGCTTTTCTGGCCCAGTGGTTCTTGAGAAGAAGATTTTCAAAGATTTTTCCTATATATTTCTATGTAAAACTTTGATTTCCCATTGTGGCCCCGCCCTTCCCCCGGGGGTCATGATTTGAACAATTTAGAATCTACACTACCCCAGGATGCTTCCACATAAGTTTCAGCTTTACTGGCCCAGTGGTTCTTGAGAAGAAGATTTTTTAATGACCCAACCCTATTTTTGTCTTTTCTTGAATATCTCCCCTTGCGAGGGGATATGTCCCTTCATTTTAACAATTTAAATTCCCCTTCACCCAAGGATGCTTTGTACCAAGTTTGGTCAAAATTGGCTCAGTGGTTCTTGAGAAGAAGTCGAAAATGTGAAAAGTTTACAGACGGACAGACAGACAGACGGACAGACGGACGGACAGACAGACGGACGGACGGACGACGGACAAAATGTGATCAGAAAAGCTCACTTGAGCCTTCGGCTCAGGTGAGCTAAAAACGAAGCATAAAGCAATGATGAATCTGTTTCCCTCTTTAAAAAAACCCCAAAAAAACCCATTAAAGTGTTAGAATTGAGAGAATTTAAAACTAACTGTAACAACTTGGCAGGTCTTTCACCTGTCACTTGTAATCTTACAGCATGGCATGGCACCAATATAAAGGGAGAGGGGAAGAATGCTGTAGACAGGACCGTGATTCAAATCCCCTAATCAGGTGCTTTAAGTCTACACCAACTGAGCTGCAGTAAAACTCGGTTATAACGAAGTCGCCGGGACCTGTGAAATTACTTCGCTATATCCATAATTCATTATATCTGTATAAGGAATTCGTTAAATTTATATAGCTGGGGATCCAAGGTAACTTCACTATATCCCTGAATTGCAATATCCGTATTCTTACTAAACGAGTTTTACTGTATAATTTAGCTTTAATATGGTGATTGAACCGGTCGGACCACCTCATAATACATACTGCAGTACATCTAAAATATCGCATAAAATAGCAATATAAAATTCGTTGTTGATACCCAAAACAAGAATGAATTAAAACCAAAAATGGTACTCTTAAACCTAAGTCATAAATAAGTGATGCTATGCAACAAAATTATAAAAAAAAATGTTAGCTGTTTAATTTTTCTTAAGTTTTCATTTTATACGATTATTCGGTAAAAGTGACACCAAACAGTTGAGTTGTTTTCAGCCTTGAGTTGTTTCTCTATGATCAGGATGAAATGTCAGATTAGATTAGATTTTGGTGATTATACCCTTCTTTAAGTTGTTCAGTGAGTTGTCTGACACTTGATGGAGTTTAAAGGTGTGAATTTTTTACAAAAAATATTGACTATCTATCAGTAATAGACAAAAAGAAAATTGATACAAAATGGAAAAGTAGGAAATTGATGTAGAGGTGTCAGTTTCTACTTTGCTAAGACTAAAGCTGATATGTAGGTTTAAAAATGGGTGATACATGACATCTGATAATGTGTGAATAATTTTTTATCATGCTGTAGACCAGTCTCAATTTCTCTCTATCACAAGAGACACTGTCATAATGTATAGAATGTCGATATTGTTTTTTTTTTTTTACAGATAATGAAAGTACATGCAATCATATAAACTTATAAAAAAACCTTTCCTCCCTCAAATGTATTTTTTTATTGTCCGAGACATCAACTCAAGGATAATCATGTACACCTGTTAAATTGGTGTCTATGTAGGATTAATAAAAAAAAAGTTATATCTACGTCATTTTGCTGACCATGCAGGCATTCTTAAAAGCTTCAAATTCTGATGGCGTGAATTCAACAATATTATTTTTATTGTTACAAAGGAAAAATTCAATGAACAAAGAAAAGAAAATCAAGATTGAGACTGTCTACCAGAATCATTTTCACACACTTGCATATATTGATAGCTATAAGAAGCGGACATGGTATTCTAGCCAGATAGTTAGCAAGAAGTAAAATTTGATAGGTAAAAGACTATGAACCTCAATTATTGACAGTTTCACAGTATCCTGTCACAAAGGAGGCATAGAAAATTTCTGAATTCTAACTAAGGAAGTTAGCTCAGTTAGCTCAGGTCGGTTCTTAATTTTTTAGGTTCAGTTTGGGTTTTTTGGTTCGGGTTTATAATAGAATAAAAACTCATGATTTAATCAAATTATATTAAACAAAATTTTTTTTTTTTTTAAATCTAAGAAACAGCAATGATTGGCAATCTAATTAAATTAGAAGCGGTAGTGGATTTGAACATCTAATTTTAATTAGATTGAAGAAACAGAAACATAATGACTGGTTTAAATAAGTTTCCTAACTGGAAAAATAATTGAACCAAATGATTCAAATCATATTATTCCCATTTTTAATGGTAATATACTAAAGAACCTATCATTTAATTTTAGACATCATTTTTATGGTAAATCCTACTCTGTTGTACAAATTGGAACCGAACCGGGTACCGGAAAAACAGAACGGAACTCGACCCGAATTAATTGTTCCACAGTTCCGGGTCATTTCAGGTACCCGTGACAGCCCTAAAGGAAGTAAGGTGATAAAAAAAATAAAAAGAGAAGAAAAATTGATAAGATAAAAGAGTTTTATTGATTTTAAGGAGGAATTAAAATGCACTCTAAGGAACTTAAAGCATCTGCAGGAGAAGATCTAAGACAATATTAAAAAAAAAATAGAAACTAAATGTGAAGAAACTAAGAATTAGTCTGTCCATGACAGTAAAATGGTTAAAAAAAATATATCAACATTAAGAACCCAGGAAAATTTACCAACATTAAAATACAAAGAAACCCAATGACATGGACAGGAATTCTAATAGTACTTGTACAATTAACTTACAGTACTTCCAGATGAAAAACAAATGGTTAGGGCAGGACACACGATTGACATATCAAAAGAAGAGTTGTATTCCATAAAAGATGGAGTCAGAGCAGTCATCAAACAAGGATAATTTAGCCAGTACGTCTGAGTCACTCCCTCTTTTTTTCTTCAGTAACTTGTACTGTGAATCCCACACCATGCAATCATTGCAATATTTCACCTGCCACCCAATTGATCATGGCAGATGGTGAAAGCTGGGACAGACTTCAACATGTTGTCCCAATAACGTAGTATGCAAATCATAAGAGCCTAAAACACAAAAATGGGACTCGGTGACCTTGTAAATTATTATGTGTCAGGAAAGGAAAAAAAAAAGACACAACAGTTTACCTGTAGCTGAGCAAAACCTGATTGGAATTGGGATTGTTTTAAAGCAGTTCTCACATTTGTTTGTAGAGCAAAACAACATTAAATTAATTAGGTTTTCCACTTTTGGAAATGCGTAATATCACAGTTGAGTAGAAATGGCACGGCTGCATTCTGAAGATGTTAAAATCGATGTCAGGTATGATGACCATGTTTTCTCTTGTCTTTAAGGCTGTGCATTTATTGTGTATTGAATTTTCTTCATTATTTTGCCCCAAAAATGGCATTTTCAACCGGTGGAATAGTATGTTGTATGTGTATATATAATCTGGGTAATTTCATGTTGTTTGAGGCAGTTGTAGTTTCTCTATTACCAGGATTGTTTGAGTATCAGCTAGTTTTTATCAGTGTGTTTCATGTATGTATAGTAAAAAAAAAAGATGTATTAAGCAGATAAAAAGATAAAGATAAAGATAAAAATAAATTAGGGGTAGATAATCAGCAGATTTTTTTTCTTAAATGTAGTAAAAATGCATTAATGTCAGTAGTATTTTTTTTTGGGGGGGGGGGGGGTTAGTCAAAGGTGAATGAGTGCAGAACAAACAGTATGTGTATCGTGAGTGTTGTAAGATTCTTTTTCATAATCCAAGGATAGATTTAAAAAATAAATTAAGACTTAAAATGATACATTTTTATGCACAGTTGATAGATATGCAGTTGTATTTCTTGTAATGTACAGATGAATGTGTCTTTAAACTCCCTGGAACACATTACGCGTAAGGATTTGTCTGGAAAAAAAGATTACACACCATTAAACAAACAGCAATAAATATTTATAAAAATAAAATAAGAAAATTAGTCATTGGATTGTTGATTTACTTTAGCAAAGTTGATGACAAAATTTCTTAATTGCAAAATTCTTAATTGCATCAGATTAAATGTCAAATGTATATACCTGTCATAATATTGATTATTAGATGTAAATGTTGTTGAAGTTTTCTAATTCTATGGAAACAATAAATAGGTTACTATCGTTATATAAACGTAAAATTCAAATTCGAAATCTGTAAAAACCATGTCATGATTTATACTACGATTATCCAGGTGTTATTTAAAGTTGAAAACTGTTGTTATATGCCAGCTCAGTCCTGCGACTTCTCCTGAGCAGGTGGTATTTTTTGCTGCTAGAACAGTATGTCTTCAATCTATATTCGACAAAGTACATGGTTTGTATGGTATATAAACTGAGATTACTAGTTATGAGTTTTGACACTCACAGTTAAACCGAGATAAAGGAAAATCTAGACAAGCATGCCATATATGGTTGTGTATATAAATTATTGTGAAAAGACAATGGTAATGGTAATAACAAGTTTACCAATGCAATTCTTTTGAAAGCTAGTGTAAATCTCAGAGTTGGATTCCAGGGAGGTGGGTACTCGTGTAATGTGGAGTTGGATACCTTGTGTTATTATTATACCATATAAGTAGAAGTTTTAGCGAGGATTTATTTTTGGCATTATTAGTGAGGGTGCTGAGTTCGCTAAAATTGAGTGTCGCTAAAAAATTATTTTAATTTATTTGTAATATCTTCTTTAATGAGTATTTTAAAATAGTTAAAATTACATCTCGCTAAAAATAGAATACCAATTTTTAGGGATAAATGGCTAAATTTGCATCTCGTTAAAATTTCCACTTATACAGTATACTAAATGGTTAAAAAAATTATTACTGGAAACTTTTCTAATCTAGTGTCAAAGTTACAAACCATATACACTTATGAATTTATATACATGTGCAGTTTAAAATTGTGCTTTGTTCATGATTGTTTTAACATACTTAAAACAATCATCGAGTTTTTGAAGGGATTAAACATGAAAAAAGAAGATATATCCTATTAGTATAACTACTTCCCAAATAAACCTTGATTTTAATTTGAAGAAAATCAAAGCGATAAATCATGACAGTGTGATAGGGGCTAATATGCAACAAATAGTTTACATCATTTTTACATGACACACAAGCATAAAATACTGTAAACCAACCATTATTCACGTCATCTTTTATTCGTGATTCATCGGTTTGTAATCAATCCGCGGCAATCAATTTTGGGGACTGAGGAAACATTCTGTACAATTACTATGCAAAATAATTGGTTCACGGCGATTAATAATCGCATTATAAAGTATATTGCAAAACTCACGAATATTACTCGCATGGAATAAGAAACATAATTCGTTATATCTTCATTGTTTAATTTAATATATTTCAAAGTCAAGGGAAATAAAAATCACTTCACTTTGAGCATCAGTTCATTGTAAGCATGCTTGCTATAAGCCTGAACTCTTGAAGTTGAAAGAATGATGACCAAGCAGAAAAATGAGAATTACTGTGTATCAGGGGCTGTAATATATCACTGTCAGCAATTGCATAAAACAGGAAAATTCAGTTATCTGTATGCAAAAAAAAAAAAAAAAAAAAGGTGCAGGTGGATAACAAACATCTAGAATAATTACAATGTTTTTGACATATGAATAGGATTTTGTTCATCATAATTATGTAAGTGTCAAAAGTGCAACATGATTTTCTGCACTTTTAAATTACAAACACGTCAAGGAATAACATGATAGTCACCTTATATTACACACACTGAGAGAAGAGAAGAAAAATCAGGAAAAAAAAAACATAACCTGAATCTTATGTTTTACAGTAGACTAAGAGTTTTTTACTATTCTTTGATTGAAAGATGTTGAATTTATTGAAGTACAGTTTGTACATGTATAACACAGTAAAAAAAAAAAACCTAGCTGTAACTTATTTCCTGGAAGATGGTATTGATATTCTAAAGAGAACTAGCTGGTAAATAAAAAATCCTGTTGCAAGGATATAATGTAGCTTTTAAAATTGATTCCACTGCCTGAGTAAATTGAATTTAAAAATACTGAATTCCATTTGTCTGTTGCAATGGAGGGTTTTTATCTGTTAAGGGACTTTGTATTGGGAAAACTCATGTCTTAATTTGTGACTTGAATTATTACTTTTGTTCAAAAAGAACAAATTAGTAAAATAGTAATCTAGATTTTGAAAGATCAATATATATATGTAATATTAATTTACTTAAATTATAAAAAAGTTTATACTCAGATTTGGTAACATGCTCTATGATTACCTGGATAGTTATTTTTATACCCCCCGCTTGAAAAGCAGGAGGGTATATAGTAATCGGTATGTCCACCCGTCCGTCTGTTACGCTTTGGGGTACCCAGCTCTTATCTGCAACTCCTCTCATACCACGTCATGAAATTTGATAAAACTTTCACAGAATCTTTATTACATACCTCCTTTTTTACTTTTTGATCCGACACATATTTTGGATTTTCCACAACAAAACATGGACACTCTCATTATGTCATTATATTCATATTGGAGGTGGGGGTATCATTTAGTGAGCTCATTGCTCACAGTATCTTTATTTGAATTGTAAAAAAAAAAAGGTTTATATATGTCATAAATGTGTGTATGAGATAAATAAATTTGAACAGTAGTGTTACAGATCAATACATAAAAGGATTCTCCATTCTTCTGATTGATTTTGATTAAAAAATGTATGCCTTGTGCCTTCAAAGTAGCAAAATTTTACCAGGTTTATCTACACCGTTCTAATGAATATATATCCTTTTAAAAATTTTCAAATTTCCGTCATAACTGTACACATATTTAGACAGATAAAAAAAATACTTGGCATCAACTGTATTTTTACTTCTTACCAGGTAGTCGAAGGTTTGTCAAAGTTTAAAGGGTGTCTTTGTAGGCATTTGTATTGATCAACATCAGATTTCAAATGTAATATGGTATATTTTTCCTTTACTAGGCGAGCATGCAAGCTACATTTTGAAGTATCTCCCTTGAAGATTGTTCGAGCATCAAAGCAATATTTATATGACGACAATGGCTGTGAATACTTAGACTGTATAAGCAATGTATCTCATGGTGAGTATATAAATTATAATGGCTAAATCTTAAAATGGATGTACTGAATTTGTTAAAATTCTTAAGCAATGCAAATTTTGATTTGTTGGTGCTCTTATTGAATGATCAAACCAACTCTAAAAATATGTTTGCTTGCCCAATCCTGACTTGGAATGAAAAATTTGGGTTAATAGATATTAGGGATGTGCGATTTTATCGGTATACTGGTATATCGCGATTTTTTGTTGCGTGATACGTATTGTGATACAGAGACCTAAATACCGGTCTTTTGATACATATTATAAAGTCCAGAAATTATTCATTTATTTGTTCAATCTTTCAAATTACAATTACAGAAAGTGTAAAAAAAAAAATGTTGTAAAAAGTGAAAAGAACGACATCTTACCTTCGAAACATAATTGATTTTATATACATAATTATAAATTTCAAGAAAGTAAAATTTTGTTTTTCTAGCATATTCTTTAGAAAAATAATGACTTTTCATATAAAATCATTGAAAAAACTGCTTTTAAAAATTTCATGATATTATCGTGATATTGTGGGAAAAAATCGTGATATATCGCGATACGAAATTTTTGGCGATACCCATCCCTAATAGATATACAGGAATTTTTTACTCCAGAAAATTTCTACATCAGTGCAAATTTTTCAAAATGTAATTTCTGGAATTCATTAAAAATTATTTTTTTCTGGAGGTTAAAAAAAGGGTTCTGAAGCGGATCATTTTTAGCCAGACAGTTGGGAGAATGTGACCACACAATCTTAACCCTATGTCCTCTCTGTCTTGTTTCAGTTGGTCACTGTCATCCCCATGTCGTCCACGCGGGACAGGAACAGATGGGGAAGCTGGTCACCAGCGCGGGATTCCTGGATGACAAAATGGTGGAATACGCCAAGCGAATCATCGAGACCCTCCCGGATCAGCTCTGTGTTTGCTTCTTCCTGAACTCAGGGTAAAATAACAAAGACTACGCATTTGATTTAGTGTGTATCATAAAACCTACTTTAGTTGAATAGATAGTCCCTCATAACTGGACGGGTTAACAATTAGTCCTAGTGTCCTCAAGCCTAACCAGTTAATGCATCTCAGGTAGAGAGAGGAATTTACTGCATGGCCTCTTATTCTGTTAGCATCTCTCAAATTAGATCTAAAATAGGTCTTGTTTGGTAGACTTTGTTTTCAAAATTAATTTCGTTCACTTATTGAATTAATTTGAAATATCTTTATTTAGATATCAACTCAAATGACCAAGGTTTGGTTTTACTGTCTAAGAAAAAACATAATAATTTATTTTAGTGGCTTGTTGTTTATTAGGCTGTATCATTATTTGAATTTCATATTTCAGCCTGTAATTCATAACTTTATAGTAGGAGATGCACATCAACCATTTAGAATGGAAAAAAAAACACTAATAATTTTATCAAAATTTAATTGACTTTATTTTCTTATATGCACTTTCATCTGTGATAATTAAACAGTTTTTGACATATATCGGGTATGAAGATCATGTGCCGTAGCAATTTAACAGTTTATTTTTATGAATACAATAAAGTGAGTGAATGATAGACTGCTGGTCAACAGTTAAAGTTTAAAGATTGTTTAGATGTAGATAACATTTTTCTTGGGAATAACTATTGTGTAACTGGTAACTGTGAACTTTTCAACCAGAAATGAGCTTGAATACTGATGCAGTCTGTGACCTAGCTGATATTTAAGATGTGACAAAAATAACAAGTACATCTAAATGATTGCACTAGTATTTTCTCAAGTTTAAATCCTAGACATTAACCACTGCAATTTGCAGATAAAATATATGTCCTCTTTACTGTAAATCTCTGTCACTTTTAAATGGGTCTCTAAAGACCTTGTGTGTTAAGGTTGGAATCTAGGCTAGGATTAAGTCCTGCAGGAAGGAGTGCTTTTAGTTTAAATATCAGTGTAAGACAAGATATACAATACCTTAAACTGTTTATTGTTGCAGACAAAATTTTTTTTTTTTTAGTCAGAGACATCTTTTTCACATGTAATACTTCAGCATGATGCTATACTGTTATCTAATAATACATGAATGTCACATTTATTGCTTCAGAATCCATCATGCATACCAAACATGCACTTTCAAACACACAGTGTCTACTCATCCAGTCTTTTATGATGGAAAAAAAGAACATGGATTTCTATGTCACTCATATTTGAATTTTTATTTCCAGATCTGAAGCCAATGACCTTGCCCTTCGGCTAGCCAGGTCTTATACAAAGAATGAAGATTTCATTGTACTTGATCAGTAAGCAAAGTTAAACACTATGGCATTCTGAAGCTAGATTAATTAAAGACATTGAATGTATACACTTTTATCAAAAAGAGTTGTGTAATTAAAAGCAATTATTTTCATGTAATTGACACTGTTAAGAATTATATTTCAAATTGTAAAACAGTTTTAAAAATCAGAGGAACAGACAGTTATCTTGTGTGCTTCTTTAATTTGCAAAAAAAAAAAAAGGTACAACATCTCTCAAGACTCTGATCATTACATAAAGACAATGAAATGTGTCAATTGATTTATGAGAAACCAATAATGTTCATTTTCTGTGACTGATTAATTAAATATTGCATGTCATATTTTAGTGCTTACCATGGTAACATAGGAAGTCTGTTAGACCTAAGTCCGTCTAAGTGGAAAAAGGTCGGCCAAACTAAGAAAGAATGGGTCCATGTGGTGAGTACAGATAAGTCAAGGACTGTGTGGATTCGTAATCAGGCAATCCAAGCAGTAAAGTCAATACATGTAATGAAGTTTTATAACTGTTTTTCTTCTAGCTAATTGACTTTCAGGAAAACAGATATTTTTAATGCCTTGTCGAGAACTTTTATGGAACATGTAGTGATTTGTCATGTCTTTCCTTCCGTCACACTTTCCACTTACTGGTAAATGTTTGTTATGTTAAATACTCTGTTAACTTGATTGCTACCTATCTGTAACGTTAAAAGGGGGGCTACCTGGTTGATAATGTAGGGGGCAACCAGGTAATGTAGGGGGCATAAAAGACTGATTTTCTCCCAGGGAAAATCCTACTATAGGGTAGAATTGGAGGAATCCATTCCTACAGTACTTTTCATTAACACTGGTACTTGAGTTTTGAAGTAATAACATGGCTACTGCTCATGCTTTAAGGTATATTGTATCTCAGTTGAGGTCAACATAATTAAACTACTGTAAACCAACTTTTAATCGCATGCGAGAAATTTTCGCTACTGCGAATATTCTCGCCGCGAACCGGTTGTAAAAGTGTATATGTCTATTAACAACAGATACAAAAAGGCTTGATCGCAAAAATTAATCGTCGCCAACTAGCTTCTCCCTGGTAAATGGCGAAATAATGTCCTCGCGAATAAAAGTTGGTTTACAGTATATTTTCATATTTTAAATAAAAATCACCTGGAAATGTGGATTGTCCTGATATGTAAGTTGTATCGACATTCTGTATGTGGATTTTCCTGATATCTAAGTTGTACCGACATTCTGTAGGTGGATTTTCCTGATATGTAAGTTGTACTGACATTCTGTAGGTGGATTGTCCTGACTTGTAAGTTGTACTGACATTCTGTAGGTGGATTGTCCTGATATGTAAGTTGTACTGACATTCTTTAGGTGGATTGTCCTGATATGTAAGTTGTACCGACATTCTGTAGGTGGATTGTCCTGACATGTAAGTTGTACTGACATTCTGTAGGTGGATTGTCCTGACATGTAAGTTGTACCGACATTCTGTAGGTGGATTGTCCTGACATGTAAGTTGTACCGACATTCTGTAGGTGGATTGTCCTGACATGTAAGTTGTACTGACATTCTGTAGGTGGATTGTCCTGATATGTAAGTTGTACTGACATTCTGTAGGTGGATTGTCCTGATATGTAAGTTGTACTGACATTCTGTAGGTGGATTGTCCTGACTTGTAAGTTGTACTGACATTCTGTAGGTGGATTGTCCTGATATGTAAGTTGTATCGACATTTTATAGGTGGATTGTCCTGATATGTATAGAGGGAAACATAAAGATGATGCCAATCCAAGCTTGAAGTATGCACAGCAAGTTCACACAGCCATCAAAAAAGCCAAAGAGAAGGGCAGAAATGTAAGTTTATGATATGGAATGTGTTTTTATATTTGTACATGTAGTATGTAATGGCATATGCAGCTAATTGCTTTAAATTCTGTCTGTTGATAATGTAAAAAAAAATTCCAAGAAGCAGTAAATTATATATTTCTTAAAATCTTATTAGAGACAAATTTAAAATTTGATTCATATTTCAGCCAATGTAAATGTTCTTAATCACAGTGCCTACTTTTGTCATATATGTAACAAAAAATGTTGCAAGCAGCAAAATATATGTTAGAAGTTGTGTTGTGTATATTTTGTATACAGTTACAGAAACAAGATTTCATAAGTACATGTAATAATTATTATAACTGAAAATAATCTTCAAGTGCATCATATTACAGTGGACCTTCAGATATCCGGACACCAGATATCCGGATGCTTCAGTATCCGGACGATTTTTCATTAGAACGGAAATTTTAAACATTATTTTGTCTTATTTAACTGATAATTCAGATATCCGGATGCTTCACATATCCGGACAAATTGACTAGGAACCAAAGCGTCCGGATAAATGAGGCTCCACTGTACTCAAGTCAACATCTAGAAAAAAAAAATACATGTTCTTTAGCATAAAGTCTGCTTCTGAGAATAAAATTTTGGTTCAAATTGCTACAACTTACCTTTTTCCGTATCATACTCTGTATGAACCCGAGTGGCAAAAGTCTCAGGATTGTTATTATTGTCTCAGGCTGATCATGATATTCAGGGAGATATGTAATAATGTATGCATTACCATTAACCAACTCTTATTTGAGTGAGAGAAATATCTGCAAGTAAGACTTCTGATACCGCATCAAGCATATTCCTTTTGGAATGCTACCATTGGACAAAGGCAAGATCAGATAGATTTTTGTATGAATCTGTTGGGGATTGGTTACACTTCTGGATGGGTGCCTGTTAGGGGCACCTATAATCCCAGCCAATAGACTTTATTGTGTAGTGTACATGATGCAGTAACTGTGATGTGTTTTCAGGTAGCAGCCTTTATGTCTGAGCCTTTGATGACAAGTGGAGGGGTGATTATGTATCCAAACAAATACTTGAAATTGGTTTACAGGTATGCAGTTTAGGGTGTAGCTAATGCATGTACCCATGTGTAGCAAGTCCTAGTAAGCACTTCTTATCCATTCCTATGATTTCTAGACCAGTCAAAATGTTATTCCCACAATTTAAAACAAAAAACATTCATTGCATTTAAATTTCAAAGTTAAAAGTTTTGGAATGCCTCCTGAAATAGCATTTCTGTTTGATGTGGATTTGAAATCTTTGGAATGGATAAATAAGTTGAGGTCACAGGGGCAGAGGTGGATATGGAGCAGTGAAGGTAACGCGGTCCTAACTGTTCTGGTTATGATTACAGATTGCAGGCTTTCTCAGTGAACCGTTGATGAGTATATGTGGGGTGATAAACCCACCGAGGAACTACTTAAAGTTGGTGTACAGGTCAGTCTGTAGATTGTGATGTACCCTAACTACTTATAGTTGTACACATCTCTTCACAAATCAATTGGCTTCCCTCAAAGTCTTTACAAAAAAACACTCATTTCATGGAATTAAGTGCACTGTAGGACATGTAAAAAACATTGAATTGCAGTTTTTATGATGTTTTATAGCTGAAGCGGTTACCTACATGTGTATACATGTAGTGACATATGTATAAGTCATATACCCTACAAAAAATTAGACTTCTTGACCAGTAAACTGTAAATGTATTATGTTTAGCATGTATGATATTTAGCAGAAATTGATTTTTGAACAAGAAAGTGTAGATTAAAGTTAAAGTACCGGTAAATCACTTTTTTTTCATGAAATATTTTTTTGCATAATTAAGCAAGTCTATTTTCTCCCTCCCGAAATTTTCTTTTGCATTTTTAAGTAATATTAAGGTTTATTTATCGCAATATTAGTTGTTGAAGATTTTTTGCTTATAAATAACAAAAAGCTTTCTCACATAAATAACATGTAGCAAAAGTACATGTATACAGTGATCTACAATACTAAGTGGATATAATTATATACATGTATATACATGTTAATACAAGACATTTTGCGACATACATGTTCAATGAAAGATGCTAAATAGAATACATTAGTCTGCCAAATGTAATACATATACTTGTACATTATTCTTGATATTGTAAAGGTTTGATTAAATTTCATATATGGAGAGGAAGTTGATTTCAAGAATGATGGTTATTCTGCGTCATTGTATTCCTTCAAAAATATTTACATTAAAGAGCATTAAATATTTATTAAGTATATTCAGTCTGATTAATTTAAATAGATTGTCCTCCTGTTGTGATATTCCTTTATGGTGTAAAGATTGGCTGTTATTTGTATGGCTTTTTGGTTTTGAAGTAGCTGTATATAGGGCCTATGATATTGTCAGCAGTATTGACTTAGTCCATTTTACTGACATACATGTACTAATGTTCCAAAACCAACATACTAAGTAACACGTTCTACAAGTATTACTGAAATGTGTACTTATTTTCACTGGATTTATATTCAGAAATTCTTGATACAATCACCAAAAAAATATTTCTCACAAAAAAAAAAACTGATAAAACAAATTCAAGATCTTGTTTAATAGTTTCTTGCTATGAATGACTATTGACTACACTAAAGTAAGTACATGTACAAAGTTCAACCTATTTACTTGCCCATTTCTTGTATAATGTTTCTATGCATACAGATGTATACATGTGTATATGTGTCATTTACAGAATATATAATGTCTACCCTGCTAGTCAGCTGCAAGAGGAATTTTCCCACTGTGTGTATGTGTGTTTGTTGTTTAGAACTTTTTGAGATATGTGTACATGTATATATAATTATATAGATTTTGGATTGCAATTGCATGATTTGGACAGAAGTTGTGTGGATGCTTCAAGTATTCATGTTTAAATTGCCATGATTCACATGATTATTATAATGATTTGTGGTAACACTGGATGTAAGGGCATATTATCAATATTGACCGCATACTTTATTACTTGTGGTAGTTTGATTTCTGTATGTGTACTATATTGTCAGGATTAACATTTAAGCACCTTCATTAATGCTAGCTATATTTACATCTACTGAATATTTTCTCCTTTATTTCTTAAGAAAACCTTTTTAAACCTACTTTAAATGATTATTTATAATGATATTAATATGAACAATAAAATGTGTCGTTTGGTTATTAGTATGGGAATTAATGTCCCAGCTATTGCTGAAGAAAATTTCAATTACACACTGTACTTGATAACGCAGGTTACATATTTTTTCTGCAACAGGTGCAGCATTAATATCTGTACTAACAACCAAAGAAAGCATTTCATTGTTTAAACATTAATAACAAACAAACAAATAAGATAAATATTTAGTATAAATGAAGCACTAGTTTATCACTGTAATAACTTCTCTATGACCAAAGATATAAATAAACGAGATTGAGAATTGCCTTTAGGTCTATTGTATAATGGTCTTGTGGAGCAGCCTTTCTCCTCTTAAAATCATTCCTCCTGGAAGATTGCATGGCTATACATGTAAATGTATATCAAAATATAGTTTAAAACTTTACCAATTATATACTTGTGTAATTAATATAAATATTAAAAACTTTACCATTCATACATCTGTATGATTATTATTTATATTAAAAACTTTCTTAGTCACACACCTGTTAAATTAATGTAAAATTAATAATTTTTAGAATAATGCTGGGATTGTCATTTTTTAAAATCACGTATTTCAACAGAATATTGCAATCTCTTTCATATAACATGTTCCTGCCATTAATTAAAGTCAAATATGAGTACATTTAGTTCAATGCAAAAGAAATTTTCTTCTGTTATTTTTTCCTGGTAAAGATGTACACATTAGCCTTCTTTTCAATTGTCCATTGGGTTTTTTTTTTTTGCTCGATCACCTACGGTATTTCATAGATCCATAGGCTTATGTACACTTTTTAAAAAAAAAATTGTCTGATTTGGATACTCTCTCTGAACTGATGTTCTTTAGTTTACTATATTCCTCTTTGTGCCTTGAGCACATAATGCTCCTTGGCTAACTATATTCCCCTTTGTGCCTTGAGCACATAATGCTCCTTGGCTTACTATATTCCTCTTTGTGCCTTGAGCACATAATGCTCCTTGGCTAACTATATTCCTCTTTGTGCCTTGAAAACATGAGGCTCCTTGGCTTATTATAGTCCTTTTTGTGCCTTGAGCACGTAAGGCTCCTTGGCTTACTATAGACCTTATTATGCCTTGAGCACATAAGGCTCTTTGGCTTAAGTGCAACATTTTGGCATGTGTAACCTGGTCAGTAAAAGTATTCAGACTAAACTTGTACATGTTATTAATATGTTGAATCTTTGGGTGCCTAGTCTGACACAATTTATGATGCTGTGTTTGACATGTAGGTATATTAATGCTCCAATGATTCTTGTTCATTTAGCATCAAGAACTATCCGTAGTGCATCACAGTATTCAAACTGAACACAACTGAGCATCAGCAGATGTTTTTGCAGGTGCATGCACAGAATGCTGCATATGATCTTAAGTTATGCTGATTCTATTTAAGAACTGCATTAGATCTGTTTTGAAGCTTGTCATAAGAGTCATAAAAATTACATATCTGCATTCTTAGGGCTGGGCAATAATATCGATATTTCAATATATTGCAATACAATGACAAAAAATATCGTATCGCAATACGATTTTGTAATATCGATATATTGGCAATATTTTTAGATTAAGGAATTTTGTCATTAAATATAAAAATGGACTTATGAAAGTGTGTTATTAAGCTAAACAGTAAGTCAGAAGTTGTTTTATGGGAACATTTCAGAGCATAACTTAAATGAAATCAACAAGATATTTTTTTTCGTGTTGGTTACTTATCATAGTTATGTACATTCTGCATGTTAATTAAGTAAATATAGTAAGAAAATGCCATTTTTATTACATTGAAAATATTGCAATACATATCGCAATACAGTTAAAAATATCGCAATATATCGCAATACGAAATCTCGGGCCAATACCCAGCCCTATGCATTCTACATAAAAATTTAACCTAAATGAATTTCTGCTTCCAAAATATAGTAGAATGGATCACTGATCTAATTTTGTGCTACTCAGGCTAAGACCAGTGTTTAGGGATGATTTAGTGTTACCACAGATGATGCTTAATCATACCTTGTAAAAGAAAAAATTGTTTTTCTAATTCATAAATGCTACATCAAAGCTTCATTTTAGGATTCTATGACTGCAATTTGAATTCAACTAAAGAGGGAAGTTGGGAATCTTAGTCTTACATTTAAGTATTTATAGAATGTTGGAGAAATATACATGCATCAATCTGCAAAAAATGTAGTTTTCCAAGAAAAATATTCAAATATGTATGGAAATTTGAAAATTCCCCATAATTTTTAGCATTTATAATAGAGAATCAGATAATGGGAATCTTTCTAAAGACATAAAAAGAGTATGATTTGTTTAGTTGTAGTATTTCTATGTATCAGATTGTCAGGGTAAAAAAGAATTTTCAGTAGACCGTATTGTTTAAATGATTGTCACCATCACAGTCTTACAGAGTTATCTGACCGTAAACCAACTTTGATTTTTATGAGATGAATATCTATTAGCTAAGTAATTGTTGCACATTCCACCATTAGTCTGATTAGAAGTGTTTGTTGGAATGCCCTTAAAGTTAAACATGATAAATGAACAAATCTAATATATCTGCAAGACAATTTCAGATGTAAATTTAATATTATGAAAATGTAGGATTCACATATAAAAAAGATTTTTTTGTGATATGAGTCGTCTGTTTATCAGCTCACCTCAACAAAGTCGGGGGAACTTGTGCTATACCCTCAGCTTTGGTTGAGGGTACATTTGTTGAGGTGAGCTATGTAACCATTAAATTTTTAAAATTTTATTTCTACCATTAAACATTAAATTTCAAAAGTATAAGTACACATTACTTAAACATTGTTTATATAATGTTGGTTACCTATCTTTTTATTCCATATATTGTATGAAATATTAAGTAAAGTATAAAGACTTATTTGTATAAAGACTTATTTGACCTTTTCAGTTTTGTGAGGAGCAGTGGGGGTATTTGTATCGCTGATGAAATCCAGGTTGGATTGGGAAGATGTGGAGAATCCTTCTGGTCATTCCAGATGCATGGTAGTACAATTTATACATAGCATTGGTTGTTATTTTATAAATCAACTGAACATTCTTGTAATAAATTTTGTTACAAGATTACATGTAAGAACATGGTCCTTGTTGAGTGTTGTAATTTATCAGTGATACTAATTCAGTATTGCTGGTTCCTAAATTTTTTCTAAGAGGTGGTAAAAAGTTTTTTAAAAAGCTTTATCACACTGTAGATCACTAAATTTTCGCGATACCTTATTTTCGCGAGATAGTCGTTGCCTCTTTATGAGCGAGAAAAAATTTTCATGAATTGTGGTGATTGCTTTATATAACCCATAGGAATACTAATATACACGAGAATCATATTTTCGCGAGCACCTTGTCTCGCATAATTACACGAAAATAAAGAAATTTTTCAATTTTTACAGTTTGGGGATTTTTTTTCCTTTATTAGATGTAGTGCCTGACATTTTAACAGTTGGTAAACCACTAGGAAATGGTCACCCAATGGCAATGGTGGTGACAACAAAGGAAATCGCAGATAGCATTGGGGAATTCAACAGCACAGTATGTACAATATAAAAGTACCATGAAAATGATAATTTTTTTTTTATGTTGTTTGTGGAAAATAGTTTGTTTCATAATTTTTTTTTTCACCATATACTTTGAGAAAGACTTAACAATAAGTTTATTTAAAATTTTAAAAGATAAATGAACTGTCAACATAAGTGCAGTTTAACACATTACAAGTCAGGAAAATGGCTGACAATATTTTCTGATATAATGTATAGTTTGGAGGAAACCCCGTGGCCTGTGCAGTAGGAATGGCTGTGTTAGATGTGATACACAATGAGAAACTGATGTCTAGTGCCAGGAATGTGGGGAAGTGTCTGATGGATGGGATGAGGGCCATTGCCCCGAACCACCCAATGTTAGGGGACATACGGGGTACAGGAATGGTGATAGGGATTGAGATCGTGACGGACAAAGAGAGCAAGAAGCCATCCAAAGAAGGCGCAGAGATACTCGCCTACAAGTAAATCTAATGTTCTGTACATTATCAGGAGTTAAAAAATGATTACGATAAAACATTTATAGATTTTGAACATTGAAATATTTCGTAGAAAAAATTTTTATGAATAACTTTTTCCCATTGAAAGTTGCTATTCTAAGACTACCTCCAAGGTCCTTGGGTCTTTTTATTTATGCATAAATATAGTGCTGTAGTGAATAAGAAGGATATTGATTTTAATGAAGGCATTACTGTTAAAGACATGCAGTCTGGATATATATTTGATCCATTGGTATTTGTTTTAGGTTGAAGGAGCAGAAGATCATCATTGCCAATGAAGGCCCGGATAAGAATGTTATGACATTACTTCCTCCAATGTGCTTTACTTGTGATAACGCCAGACGAGTGGTTCAGGCCTTCGACCTGGCACTAGCCGATATAGAGAAGGGGGCAGGTAATAAACCGCTGGCCCAGTCAGAGGACACCAAAATGAACGTCCCTCTGAACATTCTATCGGGGCTGGGGAGCTCCACGGGGCTGGGGATCCTGGATGACCCAGAAAATGATGGGGAATCGGACTCAAAAAGACCTCGCTATGACGAGATGGACTGATGAAGGGTAAGCTGGAGTGATGAAATCTCAAAGGAGACAGCTTTACTGGTAATCCAAAGTGGGCTTTGTAGTTTCTACAACGAAATGAAGAAAGGGAAGTCTTACAGAATAACGCTACTCTTGCTATCTGTTAATTTTAGTTTACAGGTTCTTACTTGGAGAGTGAGGTATTCTTGTTTTTAAAATATAAAATCTTTTCATTTGAGTGAACTTTATTTTCATCTAAATATGTTTTGTTTAGTTATATTCTAATTTATTTGAATATCTTGCTTGTGCAATATTTTTAAAAACAAAATATATGCTGTAGATTTTTGAAATATTTTATATATCCAGGCATATTTTCTACAAAGTACCCTTTTTTCCTTGTCTGACACAGTGTATATAAGAAATCCTATCAGTTCCGATTTTTTCTCAGTCAATTTAATTTTCTGTTTAAAATGTATGTGTTAGATATATTGTAACATTGTATATGATTTAAGCTGTTTCTCTGTATTTTCATTTTACGGAATGCAGAAAGCAATTCGGAAAAAAAAGAGGAGCTGATTGCAATGAATATTACAGTTAGTTAAAGCTTTAATTATAATAACATATAATGTACTGACTATTGTACTATATTTTATGGCAAAAAAGCATGAAAGGCAGCTGAAAGAGAACATATATAGAGGTGATTGACAAACTTTGTATCATTGTAACTTTGTATACTGGTATCTGTGACTCTGTGTCCTTTTACAAAACAGCTCTGTTTTAAGTTGCTGTTTTGTTTTTTTATTGAAATTAGGGCTGTTACTCACTACAGAGTTAGCCATTCTTAGAAGGTGAACTCGCGTAACAAACTTAAGATGTCATCATGTAAGCATGTCCATGTAATGTAAGCAAGGTCAAAGGTAAAACTTCTACATTGGATTGTATACATATTTTAGGTTACCTTAATTCACAGTTGATCTGATTTCTTTTACCTACTATGGACCACCCTTTTTTCCCACTGTAAACTTCAAGCCAGTTGTTATCAATTAGCTACTACATGTAGTATTAATTACATGTATTGTACAGTGTTTTTACATTTAAACCTGCCTAGAATTTTATTTTTGTTCACTTCCCAAAATCTCCGTTGAATGTCCTTGTTAAGTCCCTTACTAGGTCTATTTTTCATGGAGTCTCATAATTTAACTATCGTACAACTCTTTAATGACAGGGCATTATCTGAAAGATAATTGTAAGTTAAATATAATAGTGGTTTAATAACTGGACTACACAGTATTCAGTAAGCAATACATTTGTGTGGATACTTATTTTAATATAATATTATTTTAAGCAATTGTAAATAAACTGTTTAATTTATATATTATGTATCATCGCTCAATTTTCCAACACTGAATATTGCATTGTGTACAGTCTTGTTGAATTAAGTTTTGTTATATATACTGGTTTGTTATCAATTAATGTTCCATAGCTTTACAAATTTTATTTTATTTATTTGCATTTAATTATGCAGCACATTTTTGGTTAAATTTAAGATACATAATAAAATTTTGGTAAACAATTAGTTTTATCTACTTAAAATCTTTTTTTTTTTTTTTTTTTTTTTTAGAAATTCTTGCTTTTTCATTTTTAAAATCATTTGATAATCATTTTACTTTGCAATGGAACATTTTTGTTGCCCTGTATAACTGCTATAGGGCAATATGGCCTTTCTCTGATTCTGACCCACTTTATAAAATAATCAAATGTTTCAGGGTTGTGATCTCTGTATAAAAATGATATAAACTGAAGATTATTGGCAAGACATTCACATGATATTGACCATTGTGTTCTATGCTAAATGTATAAAATGTTATTGATGTAATAAAATTATTATAAAAGAAAATTTGGGATTTCAGTTATCAACAATCAGCTCAACTTCCAGCAAATATTCAATGGTGCTTATAATTGTCATATCTGAGTTGTAAAAATTGTTACCAAATCTGACCATTTTATTTTCACATACGCAGAATGGACAAAGTTTTCTTGCTCAGTTTATCTCACAAAATGATGTGTTAATTTGGAAGTCAAACATATGACTATTTCTTTTTCACATTGGAGCAAATATTTATGTCCTGTAGAAACTATTATTTTTGCTGTATATAAATTTCTGACTTTGGCCTTTGACCTGAAGACCTCAAATCAAATGGAATCATCTTTAAATCATAGGGGGTTGTGCTATATTTCATTGCAAATGCTCAAAGTAAAGTTTACCAGAAAACCATTTTATGCAATACTGGGTATTTGATTTTCTGACCTTGACCTAGAATACAATAATCAATAGGGACTTTATAAGGTCATATCTATTTAATATTAAACATTCATTGGATCATTTTATTTTGAATTGAACATATTTTATTAAAATTAAAGCCAAAAGGTTGTCGTTGTTGTTGTCGTCAAAACTTTTCAATTTTAGTCTTCTCCTTATACAAAATTTTATAATATTGCCAAAATAAAGAACAATTATTTTCGGTAACAATTAGTAGTGTCAAAGACAGTAAACTCTTAATACCAGAACACAATACTATATATACAAGAAATTAAGATTTTTCATGAGAAGGGTGGACCACACTCAAGTTTTAAAAATATATGAATAACTTTAAAAATTTCTACATTTTGTTGATCAGGAAAATGAAACTCATGTGGAACACCCCATAACATCAAATGGACATCTATAATGTACAAATTGTTGAATGATAATAAATTATTCATTAGAGAATATATAGGAAAAATCTGTTAAAAATATTTTCTACAAACAAAAAACAAATGATAGGAATCCTCTATTTGTCCACATGAACAATTCGGACTGTCAATTAGATTACAGCGAATATATAGGAAAAATCTTTAAAAATTTAAAATACAATTATGTCGTTAACCTTGTGTGAATGATATTCCAAAATCTCTTACCAAAAGAAAAATATTTTGGAATATATACAAAAATCTTGACAAAACTTTTTAAAACTTTTAATAGGAAGTTGCCTCGTGTTATGTTAATTTTGATTGCATTCCACTTTCTAACAGTGTCTGGAATAAAGGTTCTAATCTGCATTTTACAAGGAATATATTGGAAAAATCTTTAAAAATCTTCTTCTCCAGAAGTATTGTGAAATGTTGCCGTCTAATATCAGGTACTATATTTTGAATATAAGTAGGTACTAAATTGTTGTATATTTTGTACATTGATATATAGAAACCTTTTAAAATCTTTTTTCTATTTTCAAAGCTATGATTAGGATATTTATATCCAATTTCCAGGATAAAGTGAATTTTTAGAAGCAATAAGTGTAAGACCTGTTACAATTCTAGCAGCAAATAATTGAACTTTCTCAAGCTTTTCTATGTCATCCTAAATGTTTACACCCCGACCAAACTTCAACTGCAGAATTCCACTTGTAACATAAAAAAAGAAATAAAATACATTGGGACAATTTTTTAAAACACAGACACATTAAATTTTAGTTTTTTCAGTAAACCAAGTTTTTTGTAAGCCTTCAGTGTATTCAATGATATCAATATGATCAGACCATCCTAAATTTGAAGAAGAAAACACTTTATGTGGCCCCAAGATGTGTATGTTGTGTGACATATTTATTTGACAGTTATCAAAAATTAGATTTGGATATATTGTTGCACAGCTTTCAAATGAAAAAATACAGCTTTTGTTTTCTGTGGGTTGAATTTCAACAGCCATTTTTTCAAAAGTCAGCATTCATGTAATACTAATTAAGATCATGATTAAGATTTTGTTCAATATGATTAATATTATCTGAACATTGTTGTAAAGAATTATCATCAGCATATAATCTACAAACAGAAATCATATTTTGAGCAACGTCATTTACATATATCAAAAATAAGAGTGGTCCAAGTACAAATCCCTGAGGGACTCCAGCTTTTACATAACCAATGGAAGAGAGCAAATGTCTGTACTTGACTTGTTGTGTTCTATTGCTTAAATAACTTTCAAACCATTTTAGCATTTTACCATATTAATTCCGTACATTTGTAATCGTTTATGAATTAAGCCTTTATGCCATACTCTATCAAATGCCTTGGATAATTCACAGAACACCATACAGCAGAATTTACCTTCATCATATACTTTGGCACAATAGAATGGTATATTTGTATATTGTTGATATACAGAACGATGTTGGCGTTGGTAAAAAACCTGAAATTTCTGTGATATTTATAAAAAAGATTTTTTGAATTTAGGTAATTTCAATATAACTTGGCAAACAAATAATTCTAAGTTACAAATATCTGTGTATCGGTTTTTGATTTGCATCCATCCTCTTTGTCTTCTGTGGAATTCTATTCTTGTCATCAATTGTTAAATGTTTGAGACGAAAAAACTTGTATAAACATAGAGAATTGCTAGACAAATTTTTCACATAAAAAAGCGGAAAATGGACCTTTATTAATAAAACATTCTCAGACATTTTTAAGCACAGAACTTCAACAGGTGCCATTAAAAGGTTTTGCTGATTTCAATATAACTTGCACACAGTATCAATATAGATCATAATTCTGTGTATCGGTTTTTGATTTCAACCAACCTCTCTTTATATTCCGATGACACAGATTTGATTTTTTTAAGCCTATACATGTATATGAGAAGAAGAAAACACTTGATACGGCCCTCAACTCTTTATCCTGTTATGAACAATCGTAATTCCAATCACAAGGTGAAACCGACTCATTACATACCAGCATAGGCCTCGGAACCCGGGGAGGGGGTGGGGGTTGCAAAGATAGACATCATATAGGTATCAAACATTGGGGCGTAGGTGTAGCCTCCCCCCTTTCAACAGGCACGTTACAATATAGTCAAAGAAGGGACGGAAAGAAGTTCGATCCTAACCCCCCCCCTCCCCCCGAAAAAGGATTCTCGTGTTAGGACAATAGACACATTTTACGTTTTTCAGGTTCGATTTTTTTTTTCTTTCACTTAGCCCCCTCCCCCTTTCAATTTTCTTCCGACGCGAATGACCAGTGAATTCAAAATGAAATAAAACACCACAATCTGTTACATCTGTTTCATGTATGACAAACGAGCTGCACTTTTCAAAGGTCAACTTTCCGTATTTATATAGCAATATACCACTGTCACATACTTATGGTGTTTTAGTCTCTCGACTTATTTAGTACTCAAGAGCATTTTCATAATGTGATAAAAACTTAAACTAAGACAGGCTACTGACAGAAAAGTTGATACAACATAGATTTCTTCATCCTCGTTTTAAATCGGCATTTAAAGAATTATATTGTCGTTATAATTTCTTTATCAGAAAATTTCTTCTTATTTTGACTGACGTAGGCCTTTACTTTTATACAGAATGTTCCTCCTATTTAGTCAAGCATAGTCTTCATGGCATTTGTGTTTGGTCAACAGGGGATGCTCCTCGACATCCGATCCCGCCTCTTGAATTTCTAGGGTCCGTGTTTTAGGCCCTGTATTGTTTGTATTTGATGGGTGTTCATTTTGCACTCATTTTTAGATGCACTGGTTATTCATAATACTGTGGCACATAATGATAGTAATTATGTGAAATTAATATATCAATCAGTATCAATCATATGGTCAGAGGATTTTTATTTTTCTTGAATATGCGTTTTCTATAATTTTTATGCCATTCCATGTACTTAAAACTGTGCTGAAATGAAAAAAATAGAAGTACTAATATTTTCTACGTTATTTCTTTGGATTAGTTTAGCAGAAATACTGTGAATCATCCATTGTTCTTGACAACTTATTTGCGATTCGACAATTTCAACTGATCTGTGAGAATTTTCACGACTGAGAAAACATTCTACGAGAAGATTTTAAAAGTCATTTCCTATAAAATCTCACATAAAATACTATCGTGGTCACACCCTTCTGCGTAAAAAAATTCTTCCCCCCCCCCCGTAACCTTGAAAAGAAGATCTTTTAAAAAAATAGGATGTTTTATTAATCTTAATGATCTCCTTTTGAAAGAAACGAAAGTGGTTCTTTGGTAGAAAAACAATTAATGGAAAGGTAAAGACGACAGACAAAGGGCACAGCTCACTTTTATTTATTTATTTTTTTTGCATCAGGTGAGCTAAAAATAATCAGAGTGTAATAAAAGAGGGTATAGCGAATAGAGAGGGGAAATGTAGTCCAATTGGACTCACTTTGACTGACATTCACGTAAGGAAAAAAAGGTTTCTATACACTGAACAAAATTAAGAAGAAAATGATTCAGAAAATGGCGCGCGCGCGCGCGAGAGAGAGAGAGAGAGAGAGAGAGAGAGAGAGAGAGAGAACTTTATGTGGCGCTAGAGAGATATTCGTATAATTCGGAAATCTCATATATATAATATAAGACTTTGGGAGGATAGTCAAACCCACATCATCATATCTGTGATTATCGCAGTGTCATTCTAGTGAAAGTGAGTACACGAACATTTATTGATTGAAAGGTGTGAAATGATATCACGGTGGTATACTGTAATGACAATAAAAAGAGAAAATATAACATCAGATAAAACTAATCCATATTTAACCAAAGAGGACGAGAACAATTATAGCTTATTATAGGATGAAAAGAAACCTCAAAACCAGATAATCAAAAACATGAAATAACAGATCATCAGGAAATGGCTTGCACATGCTGAAAACAAGAACAAATAATTTATTTCTGGTACAAATTATTGACATTCCTAGTACATTATTTTATTTTCATATTAATTATACAAAAGCAAATAATAATGCTTAAAGTGTCTCCATCTGTACCATTTTAATGGTTCAAAATAGAAAAAAAAACTACTTTTATTCTATTTGATAAACGAGTAGTCTAATTAAAATTGCCTAAAGTGTATAGATTGCAATTTTTTTAAAAGATGTCTAAGGCCATTAATATAAAGGGGTTTTTGTCAGCATAAAAGATTTACATTTTTAGTAAACGGTGTTATAAATAATATTATACGTGTTAATATGTTCAAATCCTTAATTCTGATGTTGTGTGTTCTTAAATAGTTGCCACTTTATAAACATTTCTGCATTGTGAATACCAGGAAAAAATCTCTTCACATTAGAAGTTCGACCGATACAGAAAATACATAGGAAAGAGTTATTGCCCTTAAATTGGAAAACTTTTGGTTCTAAGTTCTAAATTAAAGTAAAATTTATAGGATTACAGATACTTAGGAATTAGCTTTCAAAGCAGGGATTAGCTCACCGACTAACGCACGTCAAAACGGGGATTGGTCCATATACAGCGACTTCTGGGAAAAATTTATAGAGTAATAATAAAGCAATGAAGGAAGAAGAAATTTTCTCATATAAAAACAAGTTTTAAAAATATTAAACAGTCTGATATTCAGCAACAATTGACAAACCAATGGCCCTTCTTGGTCTTTGAGTAATATTTGATGTACAGATATTATATTTTTTATTCGTTGAAAAGGGTGAACAAACACCTGATCAATATAAAAAAACAAACAAATCTGTGAATAGGGCAAAAACACGAAGCCTGGAAATTCCAGAGCTATGATCAGGTGTCTATAAGGAATACGCATCCCCTGTTCACCGGTCACGCTCGTCGTTATTTGTTTATTTAAAATCATTGAGGTATAGACTCATTCCGTAGTCGAATCCAAACCCGGCAATTTATGAATGACTCCTGCCAAAATACGACCAAATGATAGCATATATTTGTTAACAATGTCGTTATAACTACCGTAGAATTTACAAAATGCTGATATGAAACAAAATTGTTGAAATCCCTGCAATATAAACTTATCTGTCAGTAGCCTGTCTCGGTTTAAAAATTCACCATTTTTCATAAGTTTACTTGTCGATAAAAAAAGTATTTTTGCAGTATTCATACACGTTCTGCATGTAGCATACTCGTGTTATTTTTTAATCTACCATAAATTTAGTTTATTCTTATAGTTCGACATGCCCCCTCCCCCTTTCCCAACCCAAAACTCGAACTTCACAATATTCAAAAATCTACTGGATGACGATCTATGCGTGCGCTTGGTTTTTCTACTCAGCAATTAGGAGCAGATAAGTTTTTTTATTTTAATTACGTGACCAATATAACCCCACCCTAACACAAGATGCCCAAGGGGGAGGACCATCATGGACGAGTTACTTCCTTTGTCCATTGAATTGATTGTGTTGAGACTGAAAGTTAACTCACGGCAGTCGACGGCAACAGCGGAATAAAACAGATAGCAGTATGTCACAACATAGCATAAATGCGACCAAAAAGTATGTTGTACCATTTCGGAAAGAGATGACAAAACAAAATTTAAAAAGAGGTATCCCTATTAAAAGCAAATAAGATTTTTATTTATCAATGTACAATGTAAAATAGGATTGTGGAGGCGATTAACATTAAAACATTTACCCAATTCCCTTCTAAATTTTGTTTATTCTCTTTATTTATGATAAAACAGTCCATAGCATGTACAGCATTTTTCGTAAAAAAAAAACACGAGAGTCAAGTGAAAATGAAACTAGAATGTGACCTAAAAAGAACCGGAAGTTTGTATTTTTGACGTCATGGGTGTGTTATGAGGGCAAAATGGCCGACATTGTCATGTCTTGTTGTATGTCGGATCAGGAAAAAGAACAGAAGAGTCGAAGTAAAGATATAGACAGACTCATCGCCAAAGAAAAGGCACAGTTTAGACGGACAATTAAAATTCTTTTGCTCGGTGCAGGTGAGAGTGGTAAAAGTACATTCTTGAAGCAAATGAGAATCATTCATGGGCAGGACTTTGACGAGGAGTCTATCAAGGAATTCAAAAGTGTGATATACGGTAACGCAGTCAAGGGTCTGAGAGTTCTTATAGACGCCCGGGAAAAACTAGGAATACCCTGGGGTGACGAAGACAATGCCAGACACGGGACCTTCGTTTTTAGTTACAACACGACCACGAAACTGGATGAGACATCGTTTTTGCAGTATGTAGAACCGATGAGAAGTCTTTGGCAGGATAAGGGTATTCAAGCTGCGTATGATAGAAGAAGGGAATTCCAATTGGTAGGTTGCTCTCCCTTGCTAGAGATATCACGGTTTTAACGTGTTATTTACACAATAAGATATGTACTGCTGTGGTTTAATGTGTTTGGGAGTCGGTGCCAATGAATACAGGTGTTGGTTTGAGGTATGCATGTGGTATGCATGTTTGAGTGTAGTATGCACTGCATGAAAATGGATATTAGGTAAAAGGAGTAGGATTTGTTTAGTTTCATCTCTGTCATAATATCAATGACCTATATTAAGTTAATAGTATTATTGTGTTGTGGGCATTCTTCAATGTTAGGAAAACTTTATGTGCTATTGGTGCAAAATCCTATTCAAAATGTGATTTAGATTACTTTCTGTAGATTCAAAATAAACACAAAACTTATATCCTGCAATCTATTTCAATATAAATGTTTAAATACTTATAGCTTATGACATATGTATAAAGGATTTCTCGCAGCTGTGCTGCAAGATTATTTCCATCATAAGAAATATCATAAAAGAAAAAAAAAAGTCTGATAATTCACCAGACTTTATCTTGATCCCCTGTAGTGTCTTGCAGAGAATGTAAATATGTCTAGAAGTTGATTTTAAAAGTTAGAACCCTTTTTTTTTCAAATTAATTAAAACATTTTTACAAAAATAATTATTAATTTATATAATCATTAATGTTGTATAAGTGTAATATTGTGCTGATGCATGCACTGCACATTGACAAGCATCTAATCCTAGTGGAGGAGAAGAATGGACTTTGAAACTGCATGATATGAAATTTTGAATCAGGCTAGAGAACTGCATTGTAATGTAGAAATAAGAATTACTATGTCATCATGATTGACTTGTGTAATATTTTAATGCTTTTGATTTGCTACCTGGTAGGATCAGCAGATTTCTATCGATTGCCCACATTCTTTGTCCTCCTTTTTCATGATTTCATTTATCAGTCTGCAAGCAGGAAATAATAATATGATAAACATGTGCAAATGTTTAAATGTATGTAGATACACTACTGTTATGTATACGGGCTGGTCTGCTTTTGTTGGAAATTTGATACAAATCTTACTTATTCAACGCATAAGTGCATGTGCAAAGTGTAAATTAGTCAAGAGCATCATCAGTGTCAAAGCTGTAGTGATTCTTCATTCATCCTTGAGCTGTCATCAAATCATTTCGGAGAATCCAAACATTCTAGCCAAATTTCAGTACATTTAGATATGTACAGTGTATTATATAGGGGAGCCCAAAGCATTGTGCTTTGTTTATTGTATACACCAGATGTACAGTTTGTAATGGGGGGAAGACAAAAAATTCATTAGATCTTGGAATGCTGAGCTATCAAGTGAGAATTAAAGATGCATGTATCCTCCTGATCATGGAGCCAAAATGAAACCACACTCAGACCATTGTTTTACAAATAATGAAGAGTTCTGTGTACTTTCACTTCATCTGAAATAATGCATGTGCTTACAGGTGCCCTTTTGATCTTAAACATGCTTGAATCCTGGATGAACCAGTTTTTGACATTTGTGTAATTTGGATACAGAGTGATATGCCTTATCTATTTAAAACAAGAACCTTGCATTTCATTTGCAGCAAGACTTCTGATGCATCATTTTAAATTTTAAATTTTACATTCACTTTTTTATTTGTTTTTGAAGTTTTTCTTGTTGTAGACAGGTAACCTTAATGATATACAGGTAAATTGAATATGCATTAAAGGTCACTCTGACTTAAAAAAACAAGCCCACCAAAATGAATATTCATCATGTATCTCTCACTCTGCACTGAAATATTTAGTTGATGGTGAAATGATTCTAGATACTTATGTTTTAAATATATTTTATTCAAATTTTATCTGAATACTGTAAAAGCAGAAATATTCAATGGTAATTGATGAAATTTCATTCATTTTACTTAGTTTTAGCTCACCTGAGCTGAAAGCTCAAGTGAGCCTTTTTGACCAACTGTTGTCTGTCTTATATATATCTGTCTGTAAATTCTTCTTTTCAAGAATCACTTGACCAATATGAACCAAACTTGGTACAAAGTATCCTTAGGAGAAGTGGAGTTTCATTTGTTAAAATGTAGGGCCAAGTCCCCTTCACAGGGGAGATAATTAAGAAAAGACAAAAAATAGGGTGGGTCATTAAAAAATCTTCTCAAGAACCACTGAGCCAGGAAAACTGAGGCTTATGTGGAAACTCCTGGGATAGTATAGATTCTAAATTATTCAAATCATGATTCCCTGGGGTAGGGCGTTACCACAAGGGGGAAATCTGGTAAAGAACAGCATGGCCAAAGTAACTCAGGTGTACGATGTGGCCCATGGGCCTCTTGTTCACAATTACTAACAAAATTAAATCCCACATGGAATTTTTATTTGACTGAATAATGAATAGGGTTATCTTCACAACAATGACATTTAATTTCCAGAAACCCTTTTTATGACAAATGAAATTTCAACTTTATGAAAATTACTGCTTTTACAGTATTCATACTTGATACAAACCATTAACCAATATCTACCACTCTTTTACTAAAAAGGGGTTCAGGGAAACTAAATACTACAGTCTTTAATTAAATTATGATTTATGATAGCTAAGTTTGATTTGAATGAATGAAGTTGGATTAATTTATAATGAAGAAGCAAGGAAACTTTCCCAATTAAGTTTTTTCTGTTCGAATTTTTCACTTGAGAACACTTTCTACAAACCAAAAATTAAACTGGATGTGAGTAGTGCTGTTATTTTGGGATTGCTTTGGGTGTAAATAATGCTTATACTAGATCTCAGAAATTTTAAATTAATAATTTTCTTGGTTAAAATGTTCAATGTTTGGTCTTTGATGTTCCTTTTATAAATTATCTAAGCCAAAAGACATGTCTTGTATAAAGAAATTTTCAAATTAGACTCGGAAAATATCTGAATATATGAGACAGATATACATGTATGGCTTTTTCATCCATTTTAATGTACTGTAGAATCTGTGCACATATACTTGTGGAAGTCCAAAATGTTCAGAGACAGTTTACAGTGTGTTATATTTTAAGATGCCATTTTCAGTTACTTTTTATAGGGAAAAATATGCTTGCAACTGGTATTCTTTACATGTCTATTCAGTGCTGCAATGTACAATGTTTCCAGTATAGTACAAAATAAGTATATATGGTACATGTAATTATCCTACTTTAGATTATGACCTGAAGGTAATAGGTGTAAGTTTAGAGCTGCATCATCTTAAGGAATTATTGAGAATTGATCAATCTCCTTTGCATAATTGTAATTCCTTCCTCTCTCAGATACCTCTGCAATGGGCTATTGTCTAAATTGGGGTTGAAATTTTGAAAATTTCTGTATACATGGCTGTAGAAACAGGGAGGGGGACATAAATTTATCAATACGTAGAATACTATAGAAAACAACCAGTATATGCTTGTGCACCCTAAAAAATAATGACTGATGACCTTTTTTAAAAGTTTGTCAAGGAATTTGGGTAGTATCCCAGTTTTCTTTATTTAACAGCTTTCTTTAAAATTGTTCTTTCACAAATCATGAAATTTGATGAGTGGAAACTTTGAAAACTAAAAGAAATCCTTCACTTTCCTTTACTTTTCCATAGTCTTATACAGTGTCTACCTCAATCTCTACCCAGAGTTATCGTTCCACTTATACCTCAGTAACGTCTAAAAAGTAGAACGGAAGCAGAGGGACTTGATTTTTTTTCAAATGTTGTTTAAATTGGTCCACATGAAGATTAACACCTTTACATTTCTATATATGTGTCAAAGCTGCAAGTTGTTTGTCTGTAAAAACTAAACCATGTTGATATTTATCAGCAATGTGTTTTAAATTTTCCACGTTTGTAATATCCTACCGAGAAATAATCTGGTATAAAATATGGTTAGAAAGCGATAACTGATTCTAATTCTCATAAATAAACCTCCATTTAATATGTTAAGCAGAAGTTAGAAGTTTTACATTTACAAATTTATGATACACTTGGTAAAAGTAAGTTTTGCCAAGAATCTTGGCATTTAGACGTTGACAGAGGTATTGTAGGGAAGTGAACAATAACTCTGGGTAGAGATTGTGTCTACCTCAGACAACGACTGGTATTTATTGTTCTTTATATCTCTGCGTTATATGCAAGCTAATATACTAACTGAATATATGAGCCAATGGTAGAGAGTCAAAATTGACAATATATTCTTGATATAACTGTCTTTGCAACCCAAGGTTTCTTGCTCTAGTCTTGAATACTTCAATCTTCACAAAGAGAAGTGGACAAAAACCTTGGTTTGCATGATGTGAGAGAACAGTCAATGACATCTGCTTCTGTACAAGTAATTTTGTCCATATCCTTAATTCAGGACAAATTTTGCCGAGGACATGCAGGAATTATAGCAAGTTCATCAGGAAGTCACAGTTCCAGTAAATCAATGTTTCATTAATTTTATATATTAATTTTTGCAGAGCGATTTAATGAGTCTGATTGGTTTGTTTTGTATTATATACAGTAATTAAATCATACTTTTATGATATTGATTTTGAGTTCCTAAAAATAAGATTGGGAAAATCCAAAGTTAGATTAATCAAAATGAATAAAACGTGATAGAAAATTTAGGGAATGAAAATTTAATTCACTAGATATTACTAAGAAATCAACAAAAGAATTATTCTTGTATAATTTTGAGTAAGTCACAAAGACATATTGTCCTTATACTTGGTGCTTGAGTCCCTAAAAATAAGGTTAGGAAAATCCAAAGAGACATTAATCAAAATGAATAAAACATGAATTCAAAGAAAATTTCAGCAAATAAAAATTTTATCCACAAGAATTTATTGGTAAATTAAATGAATGTATATTGTATATTGGGTTTTCAGAAAAACATATTGACCTCAACCTTATGCTTGGTGGATCAATTTTTGTGTATGAAGTCAATACATTTTGGGATTGACCTCATAGAAAAGCTATACTAAGTATTTATATTTTCATGGTCAATTTCATTTAAGATGGTGCCAGACTGTGTCCAATAAGAATATACACTGTATATACATATATATCATAAAAAGGCTTGTTGTCCTTATGAATTGAAGTAGCAGGGGACATAACAATAGTAAAAGGGATTAGCAGTTTGTTCCCTAATAGGGGGTTCAATGGGAATAACCCCCCCCCCATCCCATCCCCCGGGTCTTAGGTACAACCCTACATTAAGGTATATGTACTTTTTAGGTTGACAGTTTTAAGTTAGATATTATGGGGTACCTTGATAGTTTGCAGTTTAAATTCTAGTAATGCAAAGATCTGGGATTAAGGTAAAGCATGAAGAAAGCAAGGAAACCAAGCAGTGTTAAGCTGACATTTCTTCGACTGCATAGTATTAAACTATGTTTTGAATTATTTGTTTATATCAAATACTTGAAGACCCCACTGTGAGATCAATCTGTCACTTCCAGACCCCAGGACTATTTATAAGAATGTTAATTTACCCCAAGCAATCTTCAATCTTGTGACAAGTAAGTACTTATGGCAGAGAGATATTGATTAACAGCTTCCCTGCATATACATTCTCAGCTCAGGAAACTAGCCAGTCAAATGCTTGTGTGTTATTTTCATGCTAATGAAGCCATTATTTGTGATTACAGTTATTAATTTGTTTTCTTACCTGTGTACACATCTAACTATAAGAAGCAGAATATCGATAATGCTGTAAGCTTAATCTACCCCCCCCCCCCCCCCCCCCCCCCCCCCCCCCCCCCCCCCCCCCCCCCCCCCCACTCTTCCCCGCTTCCCCAAAGAAATGTCATCTGTACTGTTAAATTGAAACTGGACAATACCTGTGTTTTGACCTCTGACAAGAGCTTTTAGATAGCAATAACTAGTTTTATAAAATGTGTCAGTTGTATGTAGGAAACTCTCATACCCTTGTTACAAGTCATTAACCATATACACCCAAAGGCTAATCTATTGTGGCTAAAAATACTGTGTTTATGAATATGATCCATTTATCTAGAAATAAATAAAGCTACTGAAAAAAATCTAATTCTGGTGTCAGCGTTCTATCAGTGTGAGAGAGGGTGATAAGTCATATGAGAATGGCTGTATTCTGATTCTTCTTTTTCAGGGAGATTCACTGAAGTACTTCCTGGATGACTTGAATCGAGTAGGACAACCAGTAAGAGGCCTTTTATTAAACAAGTTCAAAATGTTGTTCAAGTTTATAAAGATAAAACAAAAAGCTAGAATACAACCTTGAATGTGCAGCAACAAGTACAGCAGATCAAAGAAAACCATTTCCCTTTTTTATCAACAAGGGAAAAGTTTATCAGTAGTTCATTGCTTAAAAATGTGCAAGTCTGTATTTCTGTTTTTCAGGGCTATGTGCCAACAAAACTTGATATTCTGCATGCCAGAAAGGCTACTAAAGGAATCATTGAGCACACCATTGACATCAGTGGTGTACCATTTCTGTTTGTGGATGTTGGAGGTCAAAGGTCACAGAGACAAAAATGGTTTCAATGCTTCGAGAGCATTACTTCAATTCTTTTCCTTGCCTCCTCCAGTGAATTTGATCAAGTGCTTTTAGAGGACAGGAAAACAAATCGGCTTCAGGAGTCGTGTGACATCTTTGAAACAATTATAAACAATAAGACTTTTTGCAATGTGTCAATAATTCTCTTTTTGAACAAATTCGACCTTTTAAAAGAGAAAATCCGACATGTGAGCATAAGAGACTACTTCCCCGACTTTCCAGGTGACCCTCATAATCTGGAACATGTACAGAACTTTCTGCTAACAATGTTCGATGAGAAGCGAAAAGATCGCAGTAAACCTCTGTTTCATCATTTCACAACTGCCATAGACACAGAGAATGTGAAATTTGTCTTTCAGGCCGTGAAGGACACGATTCTACAAGAAAACCTCAAGTCCCTCATGCTTCAGTGAGGGGCTGGATCTACCTACAAGTGTTGTGAAAAAAGCAAATCAAAACAAATGAATATAGATTGCCTGACGGGGGGCACCTGCCTGTGACCCAGGGGGAGCACCTGCTTCTGACTCGGTCCCCTGACGTGAGTGAGGGACTGTCAGACGTACTAAGGTCTTCATTAGGGGGGACTTGCTTGATATAGCTTCATGTGGCATGTGTCGTGCAAAATATGTGAGCCGTGTATGTAAGAGATGGGTATCACCTTAACTGATACAAAATTCTGCATATATCTTTTTCTAGTCTATCATTAAGGGAGTTATAATTGCTCTGTCAATATGCATGTTGTACATGTAGTGTGGTGATCCCGTGTAATGGTGTTGAAAATTCTGTCATTTCATACTGTAAAATGCACTGTATTCATGTAAATTTGAGATAATATCAACTATAAGAAGTTAAATTACACATACATTCACAATATATATTGACATGTTCCTTTTATGGATTTTTTTCTGTCACCAAAGATGTACATTATTTGTTTTTTCAAGAACACTTTTGTCTATTTCCTCATCAACATAAAAATTCAGACAAAGATTCATGTCAATTTGTTATCGGCCATTTTATTCACTTCAAGGTCACATAGATTTGTTTATTTTTTTCCTGTAAAGCTTGATTTAGTTTAATTTGTTTATCTTCAGAAGTTCAGATTCACAGATTGAATGTGTTATCTACCAGTGATAATGGTCCTGGGCTATCACTTTATATATAGTAGTTTCATTTTGACCAAATTGTTGAGATTATATTGGCACAAATCACATGACAAGAAGTTGTAATTTCTTTTTATTTATGTTGCCCAATTATTGGCAACCCAGTAATATTATTGTATTCATGTTGACCCAGTCAAATTTAAGTATTTTCAAAAAAAAAATGTATTGTCATTTAAGTAATATTATGTATAGCGTTGCATTTTATTGTTTAATTTTTAAAAGTTGAGAAGCACACCCAGATGCTTTTAAAACTAATATAATAACAAGGAAAATATTTTATGTATGAAGATGTTTACACAATGATTTACATGTAAAGGTTGTAGTGATTTATCAAATGAAAACTGTGCTACATTTCCTGTATATTTGTAACATTCCTGGCTGACTACTTGCGCTAGGGTTGTGTCCGTGCTCTATGTATTCACAAGTCGTAGTAAACACTTGGATCAATCAATGAGACCTTTGAAATTCAATACTTTTTTTTCTAAAGAGTTCCTGTAGAATACTTATTATCACTTCCTCCAAAAAACAGGCTTATTTAGACGACTGTTAAAGTACTTAAGTCTCGACTGTTTTTAATCATCATATGAAGTATTTGATGGTGACTTCCTTGTCTAAGTTTAAGAGGCATACCAAAATTCAATCTCACTTCATAACCTGAAAAGTAAATTTCAAGTATGTATCACTTTCATAACTTGAATGATTACAAATGTCATTGTAAATGTTGAAATAAGTGTGTGCGGACCATTTTAATGCATCAATTAAGTGGAGATGATTGTTTGAAAGATGTTCACATTTAATTTTAACTAATTTCAGGATTAATTTAGCTAAGAGAGAGAGAGGGAGAGCAAGAGAGAGGCAAAGAGAGGAATCATTTTTAGTATATCATATATATATTCAGAAATGTTAAAGCTGTATTTATGTGAATTACAGAATTCTTATACTGTAGACGTACTTTTTTCCATGGGGTCATAATTCCGCGGAATCTCAATGTCTGTTTAATCCGCGGGTTGAAAATTATGCGGATTTTTCAGACGGTTACTATATGCCTTGCATTTATATTAAGTACGCTTGGACAAATTTCCGCGGAAAATTTGTGACCGCGTACATAGCGTAATTTAATACCACGCGGAAAAAAGTACTTCTACAGTATATTGAGAATGGTGAAAGACCCTAACTTTAGGAGGAGAGTTGGTGCATTGAATGGAAACTGACCAGCTGATGGTCAGCTGACTTTTACTCGTAAAGCAGAAATTTACAAATGTTCATTAAGTGCCTCATTTATTTCAATAGTTTTTTTCCCCTAAGAAATTATACATGTTACATCTTACAAATGAATGTTAGAATGTCTAGTGATTATTACGTTTTTCTAAATGTTTATGTTTCCAAGTTTAAAAAACGATGAATGCAATATTGAAGATGTGTTCTAGAGTATAAAGGTCTTAACAACTGTTGTAATAAGTCAACAATGGAAAAAATTATGGCAAGGAGGAGAATGTTATGATGTGTAATGATTTGTTTCTAAATAAGGGACTTAACTGTTACAAAGCGTTATCGAATACTACATTTTCCCTGTGTTGCAATATTTTTATACCTGTTCTATGATCATTTTTATAGCTTTCACACTCAGTATTTTAAGATAGTCATATACTTCATTATTTTACTTTTTATTCTTTGGGGAAATGGTTCAGTATTTAATCTTCTGCTGATAACGATATATGAATCATGCTTCTATTTTACTGTTATTTCTATGAGACAAATTCTAGTTTATTGTTCTTATGTACATTGCGTAGTTATTAGCAAATCTTGATCCCAACTTTGCTCAATAATTTTCTATTTTATTACTGTACAATCAGAATATAAAACTTCCTTGGTGCATTTGCTAGTGTCTTAAAGAAAGACCACTCCAGTCTTAAAGAAAGACAACTCCAGGTTTTCACTTTCTTTTACTAACTTGTTTATTTTCTTTGTATACTTTGCATGTTGTGTAAAAGTTATGCCTTTCATTGCATTATTTTTTTTTCTCATCCCACCACAGATAAGATATGAAATCAGAATTACATTAATTGCCAAAAATCTTTTCATTCTTTTAACTTAGCCAAATTGACCAAGAATTTGTTAATACTGATATGTTTTCATGTATTTTGTTGGCGGATACTTGTATAACTTATCATATTTTGAATCTGGTTTGATTTTAATTTTACAATTTATTTTTTGGCCAACTTGATTAATTCAAGCTAAACTTGATTTAATAACTTCTACAATTGCAGTAGTATTCTATATGTCATGCTAATTTTATTTTATACAGTTAAACTTTGGTATCTTTAACATCAATAATTTTGAATACCTTGCTATGTTGAAGTGAGTAGTAAGTCCCAACTGGTATCTCTTTATGGAATTTAATCTTGAAATCTTGTGTCCTTTTTATTATTATTATTTTTTTTGGGGGGGGGTCATCAAGTTTAAGATAACAATGTTTAACTGTATACAATTTATTGAAGTTTATCTGCAAATTCCTATAAAACTTTTGTCTTTAAATTCATCTTGAACTGCTAGCATTATTTTTCAAGGCATTAAACAACAGAAAAAAGTCAAACCAGAGACAGTATAACAGAGAATTATCTGTAGACACAAATGATAAGGCACTGGTTACTAGATATTGTCTGATATGTGTATAGCCTGAGAGTCTTTGTGAGGCCCAGGCTGGAGTAAGAATCATTTATCTACATGTAAACAAATACCTTAATGACATATATAGAAATTTTAGATTAAAATCTATCTATACTACTGCTAGTTTGTGTTGTTGATTTTTTACACTAAATACATGTATGTAAAAAAAATTATACCTCTGCCCTGACATAAGGCAATTTATTTCTCTCTGACCTGTGTTGCATTATAGTTAGTTTTATATCTGCTTTTCATCCATAGTCATAATACTTTATACTTTCATGTAAGTTAGTTACATCTGATTCATTGAGAAACATTTGTAAAAAAAACACTTACCCTCTGAATGGTGAAACCACTCCCTCTAGCGTAGCAACAGTCAACATCTCTTGAATGGTGATGTTTCAAATATGTTCACATTCGGTTCAGTGTTATATTTATTTGTATAAAACATTCAGTGTAAATATAATAAATACATCTTGCCGTTGAGGGTAAGGCCTTGGTTGACAATGGTTTTCGAAGATGAACATTTTCAATGTTACCCTCAGCTGCATGCTGTAGTATTGAACATTTAGAGTACGACACAGACACTGATTCCAAAGTTGTGTTTAGGAGGAGTAAGCATCCCCATGAGCCCTATGTATTGATAAAGTAGATGGAACACTCCGTGCATCAACTTATCTGTCAGTAGCCTGCCTCGGTTGAAAAATTGATTGTACTAGGCATGCTTTTGAGTATTAAATAGCCTAATGCATGGTTATAATGAGCTAGAGTACCTCTGTGAAAAAAAACAACTCTACCTGAGGGGGTTCTGTAGTTCAGGTGGGGGCTCTATTGATAATGGAATGAAAATGCCTTTATTCTTCAAAAATCTTCGCTGCACCTTATAATTTAGCAGACAAAATTAATGCAGAGTTATGATGAGCAAGAGCGCCTCTTCCACTATTTTGTTTTTTCGGCTCCTGGGCCAGTTTTTCTGGTCTTAGAGTGGGATTCCATTTGTTTGGCCATGGAGTGGAAATGCATAAATAGTATTAAATGTTTTGAAAAACATCTTCTCTGACAAAATTCCTACTATTTGTATGTTGGAAACTATTCAAAAATCAAGAAAAAGCAATGGTATATTTTAATTAAGCAAATCACGGTTTTCAAAATATTGAGCAAACAAAAGGACTTCTTCTATCAAGAGTATTTGACCAAAGACCAAAACCAGTTGTGGACAACGACTCTTTATGGAGTAAAAGTGTGCTTAAAAATATATTTCAAGACTTTGCTGTATACTTGCTGCATGGTTGCTTCCTTCGTCACGTGTGTCCAGAGTGAACAGTTTTGCTACTGGGTTCTTGTTAATAACGCAGGGCACTATTTCGTAAATTCCAAGGAACTTTTGGAAAAATTGGAATCACAAAATTTAATCAAAATTAAAAACATCAAAACCTTTTCATACACTTTATATACAACAATTCCCAACGATAAATTAAAGTCCAGGCTTTTTGAAAGCCGCTTTGTTGATACAGTTGGAATTCGTAAATAAATTAAAATTTGTCATTGGTCATTTGCAAAATTATTTTGTTAAAAATATTCTGATTGTTCATACAGGTATTCTGAAAATGATAATTAAAATGCTTGAGTTTTTGATTGACAATATTTATATGGTTTTTGGAGACCAGGTCTTCCAACAATCTATAGGAATTTCAATGGGTACCTATTGCGCACGTTGTTAGCAGACCCTTTTGTATTATTTGTAATTTGAAACAACATTTGTCCAAAATCTTATAAGTGGAAAGAAAAAAAAAGCTTTGCTGTCAGTGTGGTCTTTATTCAGATATATCGACGACTTGCGTATTGTCAATTAACAATGGCTATTTCCATTCTTATATATCCAGGTGAGCTTGAAATAAATGATGCCACAGAGTCTGACATATCTGTTTCATATTTAGATATTTTACTAGAAAAAGATGTTAATGGTAATCTAACAACCAAGCTTTATGATAAACGTGATAACTTAACTTTTCAATCGTCAACTTTCCTGATTACTTATGTAGCAATATGCCTTCATCACTGCATACGGGGTGTATATCTCTCAGCTGATTCGATACGCTAGAGCATGCTTTACGTATGAACAATTTCTAAAACGAGGTAAGTTATTGACAAATAAGCTGATGAAACAAGAATATCAACATTCTCTTAATTACGACTTTCTTAGTCGTAATAGCGATTTGTTTTTTCGTAAACATGTAGTGACTTTTTAATCTTGTTATGTTATTTCCACTTTTTCTTTTTTCCCCATTTTTTTCTCATTTTGACCCTTCTAGGTTTCTAAAGAAATTAAAAATAAATAAAAGAATTTCAGAACAAAATCAGAAAGTGGCTAAGAGTGGAGGATTTTTAATGATACAGGGAAAGTTTGTGATTGTCTCTAAATTTAACTTCGTCGATTACAGATCTAGATCAATCGAGGACATTTTTTTTTTACCTGAGTTGATATCATACGTATCATGGCCTGGACAGGTTGGTAAAATTTTTGTAAATTGTAGTTTGACATCACGGATCTAGTAAAAATTAACGAGGAAAATGAAGTGAATTTACTTATTTTGAAAATAATGAAACAACAATTATTATTGACTGATATTTGAATTTTAAAAATATTTAGTTATCATTCTTACATGTATCAGTAACAAGGTAGTAAAATGTATGTGTAAAGTATGTACATACCGGTATGTACGAAAGCCCAGAAGGCTCATTCGAGATTCGAGTTTCGGAGTACGAGATTCGAAATTCAAGTTTCGAAATTCAAGATCCAAACTAACCAATCAAAAACAGGTTCAACATTTGAATACTCCCCTTGATTATGTTTGTACTATCAAGAATTCGTTGAATATATTTATAACAAATGGCTCATTTGCTAAAATGATAATGCAAGAAAAAATGTTTTATGTATAAAATTGTAATAGATAATGAGCAACTGTCTTGGCCGGCATGTTGATGATTTCTATCTTTTGTATAGACATGGTGCAAGTTGGTATAAATTGATATATATTTTATTAAATTCAATAACTTCATATTTTAAATAAAACTGGTGCCATCAACCTGCTCAGCTGATATTAAAAGATTTCCCGGAAACCTCCTGTGGAAACCCCCTAAAATTACCAACTTTATCGATCTTTTAGTTAGATTGATTTGTCTTGAAACTTGTCTCGAGAAATATACAAAAGTTTTCCATCTGAAACTTATTTTGGGTCCCCGGCCCAGAGCAAAAAAAAAAAAAATAAATAAATAAAAAAATAAAAAACAAGATGAGTTTGTGAAAACTGATGCCCCCGTATGGCAACAATGTGGAGATTAAAAAATTAAGATAATAGTGTCATCAGATGTTCATAGACAAAAAATCAGCATGCATCACCATTTTCGAGGGTTTTTTGATTCTTGTATGATTTCAAAATATAAAACACCATATACAGACATTAAAATAACGTACACCAATCCTTCAAGAAATGGAACTCTTCCACCCATGGAAAAAGAAAAAAAAAGTTCAAACTACGTTGCGTATGTCCTTAAACTTTACTTAAATACAAATTAAATTATGTTGGTACCCAAAGTAAGGTCTTGTCACAAGAAATACAACCGTAAAATATAAATGCCCTTTCACCACCTATTCAAAAGTTATGGTCAAGGATAAGTTTCTGGAGGGTACGTCAAACTCCAAAGCGTCAAAGTTGTTGGTTTTTAAAGAAAGGTCTTGTCACAAGGATTACATATTTGGGGTATGAAAGCCATGACCCTTACCGTTTAAAAGTTATGGCCAAGGTTAAAGTTTCTAAAAGTAGGTCAACTTCCAAGGTCAAAACCAAAGGGTGAGAGTTCTTGATATCAAATGAAAGGTCTTATCACAAGGATTAAATATATGAAGTATGAAAGCCCTTGTCCTAACCCTTCAAAAATTATGGTAAGGGCTTTTTTTAAAAGTAGGTCAAACTCCAAGGTCAAGGTCAAAAGATGTTGGTATTCAATGAAAGGTCTTCTCACCTTTACCAAGGATTACATTTTTGAAGTATGAAAGCCTTAGCTCTTGGTCACACTCTTGCCCAAGGGGTCATGCATGATTTGAACAAAATTGAATCTTCCCTTTCAGAGGATGCTTCTGCATGAGTTTAATCTTTCATGGCCAAGTGAATCTTGAGAAGAAGATCTTAAAGGATTTTTCTTATTTATTCCTATTTTAACTTTGATCACCCATTGTGGCCCCACCCTATCCCCCGGGGTCATGATTTGAACAAACTTGAATCTACACTACCTGAGGATGATTCCACATGAATTTCATCTTTCCTGGCCCAGTGGTTCTGGAGAAGAAAATTTTAAAACATTTTTCCTATGTATTCCTATGTTGAATTTAAATACCCCATTGTGACCCCAACCTACCCCAGGGGGACATGATTTGAACAAACTTGAATCTACACTACCTGAGGATGATTCCACATGAGTGTCATCTTTTCTGGCCCAGTGGTTTTGGAGAAAAAGATTTTTAAAGATTGTTCCTATGTATTCCTTTGTTGAATTTTTCCTATGTATTCCTATGTTGAGCTTTGAAACCCCATTGTGGCCCCACCCTACCCCCCGGGGACATGATTTGAACAAACTTGAAACTTGAATCTTCGCTACCTGAGGATGATTCAACATGAGTTTCATCTTTTCTGGCCCAGTGGTTTTGGAGAAAAAGATTTTTAAAGATTTTTCCTATGTATTCCTTTGTTGAATTTTGATAACCCATTGTAGCCCCATCCTACCCCCGGGGGTCATGATTTGAACAAACTTGAATCTACACTACCTGAAAATGATTTCACATGAGTTTCATCTTTCCTGGCCAAGTGATTCTTGAGAAGAATATTTTTCAAAGATGACATTAATTTTTCAATAATTCATTATCATCTCCCCTTGGAAGAGGGGATGGCCCTTCATTTGAACAAACTTGAATCCTCTTCACCCAAAAATACTTTGTGGCAAGGTCCAGTGGTTTTTGAGAAGAAGATGAAAATGGGAAAAGTTAACGACGACAACGACAACGACAGACAACGGACAAATTTTGATCAGAAAAGCTCACTTGAGCCTTCGGCTCAGGTGAGCTAAAAACAATATACGTCCGGATCTATCGATCCAGGCGCTTAAAAAACTCCTAACTTTAACCTTGGTCATATCATTTAACCTGTTAGTGCAAGACTTTTAAACTGTACTTTCTTTCGGTACCAACATTTTTGGTATCTTGTGACCATGGAGTTTGATTTACATTTGAGAAACTCCAACTTTGGCCATAAGTTGCCATGCAGGGAAATCAGTGTTTCACCAATACGTCTCCGTTATCTGAGAAGGAATCAGCAAAGATCCACTCACGTATAACTATATATTTTTTAAATCTTATGTTCTGTGCAATTCCTGCTAAATCTCTTTAGCATTACCAAAGACGAAAGATCAATTAAAGGAGAAAAACTTGAAGTTACGTAAAGAATTAGACGACCTACGTCGACAGTATGAAGTTAACGTGTACAGTGTTATTGAGAATCTGAAGACGCAGTATTACCGGACAAAACTGGACCCCTGTCGCTATGAAAGGCTGAAAGAAAGCATCAAAGAAGCTACGAGTGATGAGAACTTAGAACAAACTGATGTCGTTCCAGGGAAAGGTGAAAATTGTTCCTACTGTATGATATCTCACTGCCGCAGATTGCATAAAAACTTGCAACAAGAACTGCTTGCCCAAGATCGAGAGAATTAAATTCTTTGAGTTTAATGATTATATACGTGTATGCAATGTCTTATATATAAATGTATTTATTGTAGTTTTTTGTCTTTCAGATATATCTGAACCCGTCGTCGGATTTGTGGAAAGTAGTCGGGAATTAGCTGAACGGATGAAAAGGAGTGCGCAACACGAGAGAGGTGTTTTAATTGTCCCCTGCTTTCGCAAAAGCGAGGGGACATTTTTCATTTTTCGTCAGTCTAAAGTTCTGCCCGTCTGTCACAAAAACGTTAACCTTAGTCATATCTTTTTATTGGGAAGAAATAGGATTTTTATATTACACGTGTTTTACTTGTGACAAGGCTTTTCTAAAGACACTGATTTTTTTTAACCTCGTGATCTTGACCTCCAAGTATGACCTGTACATTATCTGTGGAAAGTTTTTAGGGGGGTGGGGGTGTAGGTCAAACAAAAAGGTCAAGGTCAAAGGGTCAGAAATCATAGCATGCTCGGAAATATCACACTGATGCCCCCTGTATGACAGCTTCATTGCAAGGGTTAATTTTTCTCAAATGCCCGCTTTCGGTGTCTTTGTTGGTGAGATGTCATTATTCATGACATATTTTGTCAAATATGAACGCCATATAATATGTCAGGGGGCATCAGTGTTTCACAAACATCTTGTTTTTATTTGATTTGTACAGTGTATGTTATGTCCACAACATTGTTTTCTTCACAATCTTTATTTATAATCTTGTCAACTGGTATCGAAATGTCAATGAATAGCTTGGTCTAGAGTTTATTAATTCGTAAATCACCAGTGAGAGAAATTAACATATTCGGGGGGAATAATAAAACCTCTATTTCATAATTGTGCATTTCAGAAGACTTGTAAAACTTGTGAAAATAAAAATAATTTTTACAAATCATGCTTTTCATTCTCTGTTTTACAGAAATCTCAAACATGCAAAAAACGGAAATTGAAGTTCAGATCGAAGATCTAAACCGCCACATTCAACGTTACGACAGCAGATTTAAACGGGCACACAACAAGCTGCGCGCGCTCAGACGGGAATATGGCGATTCCAAACGGCACCTACCTCCAGAACGCTACCGTCTGCTAAAGAGAATGATTAAAACTGTTATAAAAGACAGCGAACTGACACCAGATTGATTAAGATGATTTTTGGGTGGTGGGGAGGGGCGGTGGCTCCAAACTGGAGCAGTAATAACAGTAACAGTCCTGCTGGTACATGGATTATTTATTGCTATTTTCTCGATTGTTATTTCCAACGGCTGACGAGTAACCAGTTGCTATAACGTAACGACTCCACAATCGTTATATATTTACTAGTATACAAATGTATTGGGTTCCTTATAAATCTGTCAGTATATTCTTTAATTGGTAAAAAAAAATAAAGCAGAATTTGAAGTTGTGTTTTTTGCTAGTAGGCTATATGCTAGAGTATGACAATTCATGACTTCTCCCACTATGCTATATTATTTATCAGTAAAATCTACCAATACAAAAACATTGATCTTGTTTTTTATTAACTGTATATTATAGCTCGTGACTTTGCCCCCTTCTGCGCCCCTCTAGACCTCTTTTGAGGACTCCAAGAACAAGGGATAGGAGCGTTAATAGTGTTATCAAACAAAAAAATCTGCAGTCCCCAAATGATGAGTATAGGTAGGCAAGGAGGATTAATTCCTCTCTTTCTCTATAAATTAATATCAATTTGACGGTTTTCCTGACCATTCGACCAGATGGATTTGTGGAAAGACCCAAAAGAATGAGCGTGGGCTGAAAGATCGGATGCGCTCCTATTCAGCGACTGAGGCAACGCTAAAGGCAATCTGGTGAGACAGAGGAGGAGGAACCACAGCGACCACAATTTCAAAGTGCCAGTCAACGAGGGGCAGCCAAGGAGAAGGGGCAACACCAGAAGAGCAGACACGCGAGCCCAGGAGGAAGACAGCAGAATCAGAGAGGAAAGCTCAATTGGCCAGCTAACTGCCATAAGGAAGAATGGGGGAGGTTTCGTAATGATGTAAACAAACCTAAATGCATCACTGACAAGAGGAATAGACAAAAAGATCTACGGCATAGCAACGATAATGTATAACGTAGGACTGGACAGATTTGGAAAGAAGGAACAGCAGCAACCAAGGGGAGTAGCAAATAAGAACAAGACAAAGAGGGATGTCCAATCTGAGGCGAGGACTACGACAGTGACAAAGCGGCTCAGTTTATCGCAAGAGGGGGAACGACCTGCTTTGGTTAAATTAAGGACGAGCATTAGGGATAAGCTAAAGAATGAGGGGGAGATGGAAGGAGCGAGCGAGAACAAGAGCACAATTTACAGCCAACCTGTTCCAATATACATCAAAACTTTAAGGCAGCAAAGGATTAGGAAAGCTAACATCGGGAAGAGAGATAGTCAAACAATATTTGGAGGATATGTGCGTATGGCGATCGATTTAGAAGAGTTTGAGAAGCTGATGCAGCCCGACAAGCCATACCATTTGTTCGATGGAACAGAACCTAGGCTGCGAGAAGTCAAAGATGTCATCAGGAAGGCTAGAGCAGCTTCATCACCAGGACCAAACGGAATTCCATACAAAGTTTACAAGAACTTTCCGAGACTAACTCAACGTCTATGGAAACATCTGAGAGTTGTGTAGGAGAGGCATCTTCGTTAGCCAAGGGATTCTGAAACGCTACTCTTCTCTTTATGAGGAGACGAGCGTATCAGAAACCCTTGGCTAGCAAAGATGTAGGAGATTGAGCAGTTACCTGACAGTTGGCACCAAGCTGAGGGATGCTTCGTTGTAAAGAAGGAAAAAACCCAAACTCACTTAAGCAGTTTCGTACCACTTCCCTGTTGAGCATCAAAGGGAACATTTTCCTGGCTATTTTGGCCAAGAGGATGACAATCTATATGCTAGGCTGTCATCATGCTATGTGCTATCTAAGAGGTGCATTAGATATAGCTTTGCAGAAAGGATGGGTACCAGGGGTCTCGGGGTGTGTAGAGCACACAAGTGTTTCAGTGGAGATAATACGGTAAGATAAAGAGATGAAAGGTGAACTGGTAGTAATATGGTTGGATCTTGCCAATACTTATGGTTCAATGCTTCATATGCTAGTCCAACTTAAAACTAAACACTACAGCGCCATCATATACCAGACGGGATACGGACGCTGCTCAAGAGTTTGACAGGCTTCAATTACGGTTCACAACTCAGGACTTCATAACATCGTGGCAGCGCCTAGAAGTTGGGAGTGTCAGAGGCTTCACGGTTTCAGTAATTCTGTTCTCTGCAGCCATGAATTTGATGGTGAAGTCGGCGGAGAAGATGAGCAGAGGTCCCTGGATGAAGGTAGGCGTGAGACAACTCCCTGTCAGAGTGTTCATGGAAGATATGGCCATAAGTACAAAGATCATTATGAGGGCAAAATGGAGCTTAAAGGAGATACAAGATATCATCGGTTGGGTCCGTATGAAGATCAAGCCAACAAAGTCGAGAAGCCTCATATTGAAAAAAGGGGAAGTCACAGGAGAAAAGTTTCAGAGCGGGAGATGAGATTATCTCAACAGTCTCAGAAAAAATAAATGCCTGGGAAAGTTCTTTGATGATTCACTGAGAGATAAACAGAATGTTAGTGACACCAGTAATCAATTGGAGAATCGGATGAACATCATAGACAAAGGTGCCTTACTATAGGAAAATACAAATCATGGATATATCAGCACGGTGTACTTCCACAAATTCTTTGCCCTCTATCATCTATGATGTGCCACTATCATCAGCTGTATCGATGGAGTGACGGATCAGTGGGTACCTTACCAGATGGCTGGCAGTTCCCAGAAGCTTTAGCAGCATTGGTTTATACAGCATAGGAACAAAGCTGCAATTATCATTGACATCAATTGTCGAGGAATCAGGGAATAGGAATTATATCATCAGCAAGATAGGGTACATCGTCAGAAGTAGTCCGAAAAATCTGACGTTTTCCTGGCTTTTTAACGATTTTGATATTTTACATGCCAGGAAAACGTCAGAACCGGCGCCATTACGTAAACTGGAAAATCGCCGCCTCCAACTGGAGGCGGCATTCTCGAGTTGATTTTAGATACTTGCGAACTGAATTAAATTTCAAAGTCAAAAGTCATCAATAGTACAATACTTACAGAACTTACCAATATAGTTTTTATGGTTCATTTATGAAATAAATAATCCGATTAAAAAGGTTTTATCACACTGTCGAGATTTGTCTTCATTTCGGACATTTTAAAATCTTGCATGTCCTGTTACAAAATGTGGAGTGAAATTTTCTTTTCATCGATATTTGTGAGTACTAGAGGCATTGTGCTTTTGATAAATTCTGATTTCGGCATTTAGTTCGGTTCACAAGTATCGAAAGTCAACTCCAGTTGAAGACGGCGAAATTTCCAGTTTCGTAACTTAACACTTGGCGCCGGTTCTGACGTTTTCCTGGCATGTAAAATATCAAAATCGTAAAAAAGCCAGGAAAACGTCAGATATTTCGGATTACGTCAGAAGTGGAGAAGAGGCAACTTAAATTGTGCGGAAAGAAGTGCGCAAAATGAAAGAGCACATAAAAATGGTGAAGGCAGTTGGTACACTGTATGAAGAAGCAGGGAAGCTGGCTAAACTGGGAAGGAGTTTTATTGGAATGGGATATAATAGAGCCCAAAGACTGGAATTCCAGCTAAAGGCTGCCGCTTATGACGTGTTGCCATCGCCAAGCAATCTGACAACATGGGGCACGAAGGACAACCCAAACTGCATTTTTCAATATATTAATATTTCACATGTGTATTTTTATGACAAGGCTCTCACTGGGTACTTTTAATTTGACACTTGGACCCACATTAAAATATGGCATTGGACATAAGTTTTTAATGATTGGTGTTCGGGGTGACATCTGTCTTAGTTAAATTCATTGACTCAAGTCCTTCTTTGGGTAATAACATTTTTCATTCCTTGATTTGCATATGAAAAACTTCTACCTTCGCCAAAAGCTGTCATACGTGAATATTTACATTTCCAATAAATTTCCCCTATGATTCTTTACAAAATAAAATGCGGTATACATTAAAATATGGCATTGGACATAAGTTTTTAATGACCCTGTTTTGTTTTTGACAGTTGGTGCGTAAATTTATGGCAAGGTGAGGTATATCTACAACGCTTCAGTTAAATTCATTGACATCAAGTCAAAAATTAAATTCATTTCTTAATTGAACATCAGTGTTTCACAAACACATCTTTATTATTTAAAGCTAACACAATACATGTATATGATTTAACAACTTAATTTATCTATTTATCACAAGGGGGTCCAAATTTCAAGGCCGTAACTAGGCCAAAAATTTAAGTGAGGCTTGATTTGCATATGAAAAACTTAAAAGATTTGGTCCTTCTTAAGTCTCGAAGTAAGGTGTCAAAAGCTGTCATACGTGTCCTATATCACATACACAAAAAGAAAGTGTTTCACAAACACATCTTTATTAAGAAATTTTTAAAGTAAAACAATCAAACAATTTACATTTGAATTATATTTTGCATGTTCTTAACGAATATGGGGATGAGATAACAAAAGTTGAAATATTAATTTAGCACAAAGACCCTCATAACATTTATCGTAAAACGTTTTCACTTTTGGAAAAACTCTAAAAATTTAGTGAGGCATTTGCCTCACTTGCCTCAATGGTAGTTACGGCCTTGAATTTCCTAGCTGTGCCTCCTCCCAGTGGATTTGCAGCTGAACAAAAACTTGTGTTTTTCATCCATTTAATATATTGTTTTGTGTCCCAATATGCTCTGTGTGGTGAATCGATTTACCATACATAGTATTTTTTGCATTCAACGATTTAGTGGAGAATGAACCCATACTCCAATTTGACAAAAACAAAAACAGGATTTCCTCGTATTAGACATGTTAGAGTTGATACCAGTATTATAAGTACAGGGACCGGGGATATTTTATCTATAAATTAGATCTCTGATCTGCACGAAGTCAGGGAGAATACTGGTTTCCTTGGATTCCATGAAATGAGATAGAAACTAACTTGTTCGTCAATTTATAGCATAGTGTGGACCTGAATTTAACAGTCAGTAGATCCGCGCCATGAATTTGGCGGGAGGACAGGATTCTGTGTAAAACTAGCTCCTGTTTGTCTCCTTTGTGAGCAACACATGCATGCACGTGCATCCACCATACTGCTGATCGACTAAACAGGAACATATTATAACCACCTTACTGATGTTTTATCGAGACAGTTGCGTAATTTATGCGTGACAAAAAATTGATCAGATTTACATTGTTGACTGGAGTGACTGGTGAGTAAGGGACCACTGATGGGAAGCAGAGAGAAAGGTGCGTTATATCCCTGTATATACGTATATGGCACATTCATAAGAAAGCTTTTGTTTATCTCTTTATACAATGTATTGTTAATTGTTGTCAGTAGTTATTGAATTATTCGCGCTATTCTTTTGTTTGTTCAGTAGATTCCCCCCACTGAATAATGATTTAATTAAATGCATGTTGGAGGAGGGGGTGGGGGTATATTTATCATACTTCATCGGAAACATGTAGTCTCGTTTTTTCAAATAAAGAAAGAGGGGGGGGGGGCAGAAAATGTTACTGGAAATAAAATTTGACACCCCCCTTTTCCAATACTACATGCCTGACCATGCTGATTGGAATGTTCTTTCGCTTTTAACTGTTTAAAACATACATATATATTTTGTAGAACTTAGTGAAAATACAAATCATGTTGATGTTATGTCTGCTTGTACATGTTGTTTGCTATACTATAGGTATTTTTCATTACTATAGTATTGATCATGTTGATTCTTTAAATTATGTTGTGCCTAAGGTCTTATAACTGTTGTTAGTTTGATCTGCATGTCAGGAAACTATTTAAAAGTTCAAGGAGCAAGTTCTATAAAATTAAATCAATAATATCCTTGTTAATGATTTCATGTAAAACACTACTCTATAGTGATGTAGGATGTGGGTAACCTCAGATTGTTAGAACAGTTGTAAAATTTATAGGCTTTATTGGTTAAAACTCAAAATTAGTAAAGAATCGAACTGAACTGTACAATTTAAATGACTGTGTATAATCAGTTTCCTGATATATCATTAACTTTTAATTAAAGTTGAAACTGACTTAAAATCAACCAAATGAAACATAAATAAATAATCTGGTTTATTTTGGAATTTGATTGAACCCTGGTATTTATTGTTTTTTTTTAAAGTCAAGTAAAGGCTACTTGACTTCATTAAAATCTCTCCACAAAAACATCACATTGATAAATACATAAATCCATTTTATGCGATTAATCTTTGTGAAATTCCAGAGCAGTTCATACATTAGATTGTCAGATAGGAAAATTGATGAGTGTCTCTTTAAATTTGACTCCATCTGTTACAGTCCGATCAATGTAAGACGATTTTTCACCTGAGTCAATTTTCTTGTGTTTATACCTGCATGTTTCCTGCTCCGCATGGCTATATGCATGACAACCCACATAGATTTATCACAGTGTATGTCTTGTCATTAGAAGGAATGGGTGTTTTAATTCGGCTGTAAACAAATGAAGCCTTAGATACACAGAGATGTCGAGGGGACGCTTGGACCATTCCCGTTCAGGTGTGTATTTAACCTTCATGTTAATTGTATCAGGTCTTTTGTTACATTATGGATCTATAAAAATAAATGCAGAAAGATGAAAATAAAAGGAATTTACTTTCATTGAAAGAAATGCAACAGAATTTAAACACTGTTTTTCCATTTTGAATTGTAAGTTTAACAAATTAAACATTGTAATCTCTAACTTGTAATGTGTACCTTTGTGTATCAAAGAGCAGTGACCTAGATAATTAATTGTCATGGCATGTTAGAGAATTGTATGTCTTATGTGACCTTTTTGATGTTTATGTGGACATTTTACCTGGAGGATAAAGCTTACTTTCTGTTTGATGCAATCTAAATAAAAACTCTAGTACCTTGTATTATATAACAGAAATGGATAATTTTCTTTTATATCAAGAAATCTTGTCATTTGTTGTTTGCACAGGTGTTTAGGCCTAAAAGCTTTGTTTGACTTCATGGTTTTTAAAAAAAAAAACTATTAATACAATATGTGCAGCTGATTAGATTTGACAAAATTTCTAATTTTAGTCCCTTTCTCATTGGGTTTTACTTCTATAAATATGTGTTGTATTTAAAAAAAAATTAAATGCCTGAAGCAAAAGCTAATTGAAAAGTAAAATAAAATTCTATTTACTTTATTGATTAACCCAAGTTGATATCTTTAGTTTCTCAAATAAATGAAACTAGAAAAACTATAGGCTAACATGAGTATTTAACTTTCATTAGTTAGAATACTAATTTCTAAATTGAGAGCCAAGTCTAGAACGTTTGCTTCATCTTCCTAAAGAAAGAACTAAGAGAATGTCTTCAATCCATTTTAGTGTGTACATAAATCCATTTTCCTTGGCTGCATGGGTCATTGTTCTATAGGTAGAATCCTTAATATGCTTACAATATTTAAGTTATTCACCTAGATTTTTACTTAAAATTGATGCCCCCCCTCCAAAAAAAAACACAAAAAAAACTGCACAATTAGCTTTAGTTTTGCATAATTTATTTAAAAATTAAAATATTTTTAGTGAACATTCCACCATTACCAAAGACAAAAGATCAATTAAAGGAAAAAAACAGGAAACTACGCAAAGAACTGGACAGCCTACGTCGGCAATATCGAGATAACGTTTACAGTGTAATAGAGAACCTGAAGAGACGATATAATGAAACCAAAACAGATCTCACACCCAGCTACGAAAAACTCAAACATCTGATCAAAGAAGCCACGAGTGATGAAGTTCTAGAACAATGTAAACTGCCAGAACACAAGCATTCCGTACAGAACAAGGGGGTGGATCACTGTAAGTAAAGGAGGGGTGAGGTTTATAGTTTTAATCTCTTAGTCAAGAACACCACATCCTGATGTTTATAAGTTAAAACTGCTTTCTCAAGGGAAATAACTCCTGTAAAACAGAATATGTATGCTCCATCTTTGTTAAAAAAAAACCCAGCTTGGTAGTAATTTAAACTATGAAGTTTAAGCATTTTGACATGGGTAAATGTTGAAGATGTAGAGTTGTAATATATATGAGTATTTCAGGGGAACAAAAAATATACTTTCAGACTATTTTTTGGATTATTTAGGGTTGTCTGTTAATCTGTATCTAACGTCATGATAAATTTTAATATTTTTATGCCAATGGTGGATCCAGTATTAGCTATCTTAATCTAATAAACCTGGGAAAGGGGGGAGGACTACACTGTACCTCTACATTAGTGATAGATATTTTTTCTGAAGAGATACACAAATACTAAAAAACTTAAAAAAATAGTTTTGTAACTAAGTTAAATCAATTCATTATACTGTTGCATTTGAATTTGAAATGTTTCTTTATGTGTTCTCTTGTAGCTTTTAACCACAATTCCAGTGCTAATGTAGAGCTCCACATTAAGGACGCCGTAGCCGCTCGGTACGATCAACGTAAAGGAACGGGGGCATTCCTCCAGTCCTGCCGAGAATTTGCTGGTGTGGGAGAGAGTCACGTACAACAGCAGAGAAGGAGGGGTGGGTATACATGTTACTTCTTAACATCATCCAAATGTTCATAATTCATTTCGCAAGATACCTTAGTATGGTTGTATTCACATGAAAGGAGAAAAATTTACACAAATTCTGGTAAAAATTATGCATGAGAATAAAATTTTTGCAAGCAGATGGCCTTGTAAAAATATCAAAAACAAAAAATCTGAGTATAAACTGATTTCAGTCCACATGAAGGTAAACTAAAATACAAAGAGATTTTCGTCAACTCATTTATCTGTCTTTACTAAGATTGTAATATTTTGATCCATTTTGTATTCTCTGCCCACAAGACTGCTTTATTTATGTTCAGTTTCATATTACAGAAACATCCATGAATAGATTTTTAGATGATTAAAAATGTTCTTCTTATATTATAAGAGAGAAAAAAAATCAGAGAAAAAACTTCAAATTTTATGATGATTTATTGTAAATAAAAAGAGAATTTATAGGCATGTAAATAATGCTTACAATGATCTCTTCCATCCATCATTTTACAGAGGTTTCGGTAATGCACAAAGCCGAGATCGCAGATGAGAATGAGGAACTGAAGCACCACATACAGTGCTACGACAGCAAGTTTTTACGAGCACACAACAGACTGACTAAACTCCGCCAGGAATACGTCGAGTCCAAACAATACCTACCTCCCAAACGCTACCGTCTGCTGAAGGAAATGATTGAGACAGTCGTAGAAGACAGTAAACTTAGACCAGACTGATTTAATGGCGGAAGTAATAGCGACTGTTTTCCGATTTGTCATTTATATTCCTACTGGTACTTACAAAATGATGGTGGATAAACCTGCTTTTTTTACTTTCAGTAGACATGTGTTGTTACATTTTAAGTTTTATTTTATGATATTTGTTTGAGCTAATGTATTTATTGGATGAAAAACCTTATATAGATCTGTTAAATATACAATTCAATTCAATTCATTTTATTGACAACACCATCAAGGTTTTCTTTCCTAATATCAAAGCACTTTTTCAAAAAGTTACAAACTCTCCTAGCAGTTCTAATACTTGTAGGATTGATAATGTCAATAATAGGGTTTTCCTTCATGTAACAGTGTGCATTAAATATATTGTATTATTATATGATTGAATAATTTCCATCTCTCTGATTGGCTGAGATCCAACTACGTTAGAAAAATACTATGTTGTATTGACCTGGACGTGACGTTTCAGGTGAATACAAGGATTTATTTCCTCTACATTGATCTAAAAATAGATTGGGAAATTCCAAATTGATACAAATTGAATTGATAAGCTATTTCAACGACTATGACTTTTTTTTCAATTGAACAAAAGATAAGAGAATATATATTTTCGGGTGAGGGTGGTAAGAGGGGATGCAGGGCCCCCCTCCAATACTATTATTTTAACAATAATTTTTACTTTTTGGCAGTCAATTTTCCCTAATACTCCTTCGTTTCGAAATCTATCCTATAAAAAAGACTTATTATTTTTTTTTTATGGCAACTAAAATTGATAAAATAACATTTCAAATTGATACGACTGGTAAAGTTTATTTACATTTCAATTCTGCTTCTGTCTTGTATTTGGCAAGGACTTAATTAAATGCAAACAAATAATGAGCTGTATCATTTTATCAGTGAATCATATAATAAAACAATTATTGCTGATGAATTAGCCATCTTCAAAGGACAAAATTCACCTCGCCCTTCAGGCTCGGTGAATATTGTACTCCTCAGATGGCTAAATCATTGTATTGACCGAAAAAAACAGCAATAATTGTATAATATTGTAATCTACATTGATCATTACAAGGACAATAACGTACAAAATGGTTTTTATTTTCAATAAAAAATTTACAAAAATGACATACACGTTTTTCTCTAGGAATAGGTGACCTTGAGTATCTCCCCATTTCAATATGTAGTGTATGAGCACTAATTCTTAGTTTTGTTAGGATTGTTAAGGTCTTCCGTTTCAGACGGAAGACCTTATAGTGATTCTACTGTTTTTTCTTATTATTATTATATATTTTTATTTTTTTAAAAATCTTCTTCTCAGAGATGGCTGGACGGATTTTCCTGAAATTTTCAGGGATGATAGAAAATGAAAATACCCCGAGACGTTTTTTTAATTTTTTAAAAATTAACATACGGTCGTCAGATATGTACGATTTGCGCTTTTTTAAAAAAAATTTAATACGAGTGAGATATCAGAAACGGTAAGAGGGCCAAAACAGGGATGATAGTTGATAAGTAGGCAAATATATGGGTTAAAATCGTCCAAAATCACTTCCGGTCGTCACAGGAACCATTGAAATAGGAAAATTTCAACTTTTCTTTTTTGAAAGTTTTTTAGCATCAGATTATAGCATCTTACTCGTAGTTTTGAAATATGTCAGTCCCACCGGAAACAAAAACGACAACTTCCGGTTATAAGAGAAAAACTGCATATTTTCAGTATTTTTTTTACATAAATATATAGATAAAGTTTTTCAAATGATTTTTAGATATGTTATTCAGACTGCAAATGACTACAGTAACGTCAAATATCTTTGGAAAATTCACTTCCGGTCGCGTGATTTCCTGTCCTCAAAATGAATAGTTCTTATAGCTATATCTCTAAAACGGTTAGAGATGTAGCCCCCCCCCCCCCCCCAACTTAAAGTGGTATATCTTTCGAAAAGGGAAAAACATATGTGTTTTTGTCCGCCGTCACTTCCGGTCGTCGCAGGAAGTGGTCGAAAAATCGGAAATTTCATCTTTCCTTTTATGGAACGTTTATTGCATCACATTATAGCACTTTATTTGTAGTTTCAAAATATATCAGCTCCACTGGAAACAAAAACGCCAACTTCCGGTTATAAGAGAAAAACTAAATAATTTGAATATATTCTTTCCAATATATATTTTTTATAGATAAAGTGTTTGCAACTGTTTTTGGATATGTTATTCAGTCTGCAAATGTCTACAGTAACATCAACTTTTTTTTTTAAATTCATCAAAGCGTGTGATTTTTCAAAAAGAAATTATTATAGCTAGATCTCTTAAACAGTAAGAGATTAAGACACCAAACGTTGACAAGTGGTATATCCTGATGTAACAATTCCATGGGGGATATATGATTGAATAATTTCCACTTCTCTCACAGGAAGTGATGAAGCCAAAATTCAACTTTTTTTTATCACATAATAGCATCTTATTTGTAGTTTTGAAATAAGTCAGTAAAACCGGAAACAAAGAAAACAACTTCCGGTTATAAGAGAAAAACTTCATAATTTGAGTATTTTTCTATCCAGTATATATTCTTTATAGATGCAGACTTGTTATGATTTTTGGATATGTTATTAAGACTGTAACTGTCTTCAGTAACGCCAAATATCTTTATAAAATTTACTTCCGGTTCGTGATTTCCTGAACAAAATGAGAAGTTATCATAATATATCTTGTAAAGGGTAAAAGATTAAGACACCAAACTTTAACAAGTGGTAGATCTTGATGTGTAGGCAAAACTTTTTACTTTTTGGCACCGTCACTTTTGTCACAGGAAGTGAACAAATGAATAAAAACTTTTCTTATGGAATCTTTCTTAGTAATACAAAGACTTCTTTTTTGTAGTTTTGAAATATGTCAGTCCCACTGGAAACAAAATGGACAATAACATTATCAAAGAAAAAACTGCATAAATTTATTTACACTTTCCATAAATATTTTTGATTGGCAAGGACTTAATTAAATGCAAACAAATAATTAGACTGAAATTTCTAAAGTAACCTTAAATATTTTTTCAAAAATTTACTTACGGTCCCGTGATTTTTTGTCCTCAAAATGAGAAGATAATATTACTAGATCTCTTAAACTGTAACAGATCAAGACACTAAACTTATATGAATAAAACAACATGAAGATTGTGCAAAAAATATAGGGTAAAATGCGTACGCCGTTCCTTCCGGTCGTCACAGGAAGTGATAAAAAATTGAAAATGATTTTTGTACATGTTATTAAGATTATAATTGTCTAAAGTAAAGTAAAAAATCTTGGTACAAGTTAATGGCTGTTTGTTTTCCTAAAAAATCATTAAAAATATTATATGCCTTTTTAACATAGGTGAAAGCTCATTCATTTAAATATGTAGGAGAACACTAATTCTTTGTTTTAGCAACAAGAGTTTCTAGTTCTTTTAGATTTCTTCAATGGTAATTCTAGATAGTTTTGTAATTTATATTCATTTAAATCAATTATATTACTATAAAAAGTTGATTTCCCAGAATTTGATTTAGAAATGTTCTTTAATTGTTCACTGATTTTGTTTCTATAATGTTCCTCTAATTTATATTTTAAAGTTTTATGTGATATGTCCAATGAAGATATATAAAGACCATTTCTGTTGTAGAGTATAAAGTTTTCTTCGCCAAGATATTCTAGACCCCAGTGTTTTATCTTCCTTAAATGCAGACACTACTAATTGGTCATTATGATCATTTTCTCTCTCTAAGTTTTTCAGTCTTAAAAGTGTTATACAGTGTAATTCATTTCCTATAAATTCTTGTAACTATTAATCAGGTACGTAACATGCCAAATATGATATTTCTTTAAATTAATGAAAATGTATTTTATTTTGCGAGTATGATTGGCAGAAATTGAATTTTCAATAATTAAATTTAATTTAGCACTTTTTGAATGTGCTTTACATGAAGATACACAAAGCATTTGGCGATGTACTTGATTTAGCGGAGGCTGCTTTTTGCGAGAGGTGTTAAATAGATACACATCCAAATCTTATATATGTTTACAGTAAACTGTATCTGCTGATCTGATATAGTACCAATGTTTTACATTATTTACATTATATTGTAGTACTTTTCAATTCTTGAATAGAGGTACATGCCTCTTTATTTCTGCTTTTAGAAAAACTTTAAAATTGTTACTTAAATTTTGCTAGAATGGTAAATTAATGCTACCGTAATTATTTTTTAATACATGATCTGACTGCTCACAAGCTTACTTCTGATTTAGTCTTATTTTAATTTTACTTCAACAATATGTGCCTTCAATGCAAGCTGTCAATTATAGCTCTACCATAGCTGAATCTCAGAAATGGAATATTGATTTGCATATCATGTCCTTTGTTTTGTTAATGTTGCTATTGCTGTTGTTAAAATAAACTACAAAAACAATAGTACTTAAAAGTCTTTAATGATCTTACAATGTATATTGGAATGATCCATGTGATACAATAGAGAAATCCTATACCTTGAATTCAAAAAGCACTTAAGAATTGAAAAATACATGACAAAACTACTGTAATGCCCTTGTTTCTGTAGAAATAATCATTTTTGCATGTCTGACATCATTGCTTAGAAGTCTATAGTAAAACAAAGCTTGGCTCTGGATGGATTTGTCCGAGTCCTGCAAACACAACTCTAAAATCTGTCCCAGGATTCCCTGCATCGCAGCAGGATGATGGAAAAATACGTGTACACAGGTCATTAAAATCTGGTATTTTATGATAGAGTTTGTCTCATTCTGAAAGTTTTCCACATACTCTTCTAAAATGTATGGGCTTTCCTCTAACAAATTTCCATATTGTGACAGTAAACAAAGGAATGCCAGGCGACCTTCAGTGTCTGTCAATTTTCGATGTTTGTCGGCTATTTTCATTATTATATCTGGTCCTTCATCAATTGTATTTAACTCCAAATTTTTCAGAACTTGAAAGATATTGGACAGTAAATGTGGGGCCTCTGAGTCTATAAGTTGTTTCAGTTTCTTGATCACAGTTGGTGCAGTGGTAGGATTGGATTTGAATACCACTGTGACAGCTTCTAGAGCACCAAGAGACACCTCCTTGGATGGGTTTGAAGCATGAAGAAATAATTCTCCTAAAATTTCCTTTGCATTATTTTCCAAAGCAAGATGTGGTAACACTGCTAACTTGAGTTTCTTTAAATATAGTGGGTCACTTTCTTTACAGAAAAATATTAAATAATGTGGTTGCAACTCTGCTTTAATTTCATCTCTAAATGAATTTAGATGATCTAAGATGTGGAAAACTAGTTCTGTATTTCCATGTGGAATTGCTGCCACAATATTCTTGATGTATCTTTTGAAAACCTGAGGTCGTAAGTGAGGTAGATTTGAAATCAGGCTGAGAAATAACTGTAGACAAGCCTCCGCCACGGCAGTGTGATTACTGACTAGGAAGGTATCGAGAATGTTCAGCATGTTAAACAGCTCATCCTGTGTTTTAGGTTTGTATTTCTGTAGGATGTTTAGGACGTAGCTTTGACCCCAAGGAGTCATGCCCTGGAGGTTATTTAGGAGGTGGTTAGCAATGTTCCTGTTGATCACTATCCCTCCTTCCTTACTTAAAATCTCCTCTAGAGCCATCACAGAATTCACCACCACAATGGGATCGGAGTCCCTCAGCATGGTGTACAACTGATTGATCAGACGCCCGTCATTGTACATATCCACGTTCTGTTTGTACAGCCTACCACAGCAGCACGCCGCCACTCGCCGCACATAAACACTCTTGTCTGTGAGACCCATGTTGATTCCTCTCAGACCATATTCAATGAAGGACTCGTGATTAAGAGTTGACAAAGTTTTCAGGGCTAGGCCTCGGATCACAGGGTTACTATCTGAGCATTCCTGCATCAGCGTGTTGACTGCTAGAAGTGAAACCTCTGGGTTTTTGTTGGCATACAGCGCTGTGAAATGGTACACTGCCTTTTTGGTCACAAGATCAGGGTGAGCCAAAAGCTTCAGCATCCCTGGCAAAAGCTGGGCACAATCTGTTCCATTCATCTGCAGCCTCATGACCTATAAATATAAATGATGTTGTTAAACTTTATCTTAAACATTTACTCCCCTGAAAAGTTAGAAAACTATACATACCAGAGTTATAGTGGGAAATTTGATGATTGCATGCTTATGCTTACTATATAGTATATAATGTACACAGAGAGTGTTTTAACTGTTTTCATATTTATGGTATTGGACTGAGTATACACAATAAGTATACCTTTGTTAACACAACCCTGCACACTGCAGGGTTTGAATGCACAGTCAGGCTCCCAAACTGAGCTGCAATGTTCTCCAGTTCTGAACTCATCCTCCGTGATCTGAAATCATAAGAAATGTATTCATAAAATAATGTTAATAAATCTTAAAGCAGATAGAAGACAAGAGGATATGCCAAACATAATTTGTTTTGATAAATTATTGAAGAGTAAGGTGTTGAACAATTTTCCATTGCATTTACTCTGAATGCCAAAATGATTGTAACGGTTATTCTTAGGAGAGTTTTCTCCATGTAGAGTTTGGCGTTTACAGATACCACTTTCCTTTAAGACTCAATCTCCATGACCTGCAACTGTAGCTCTCTCAGACATAAAATTTGAAAGTGCATACTAGTGATTCTCATGTTTTTGTTTCATTATAAAATATTGTAGAAAGCAATTGCTGTTCCAAAATAATGATTGACTTAATTTTCAAATCATTTAAAATCATTTTGTTGTCTGGCACCGTTTCAAAAGTGCTTGGGTCTTGGTTTATAAATATGTATGTACCATATTGATACCTTGGAATATATGTAAAATTAAATAAAGTTATCTGCAAAATGTGAGGGCTTTTAAGATATAAGAATCAATGTTCAGAGATGTACAGTGCAGAAAAATGACAGGAGCAGTGTTTTTTTTCAAAGAACAAGCCATATAAAGAACGGAGTTGTCAGGACAGACACCATTATGCAGCCTCCATACCTTTACTTTTTTTTTTTTTTTTACATATCAATAAAGTACATACATGTTTATAAAACAAGACCCAAGCACCCATCCACCTGGTCCAGATTGAAGGTTTTTACAATAGAGCTTCGGAACTACAATTCTGTCGCTTGATCTCCATCAGCTGATGGCTAAATATCAGGGGCAATAGACAGGTCGGCCCTAGACAGAAGTTGCAAGTTATGGATGATTTTTTTTTATTTACAGAGGGTGAAATTCTTCTAATTTAGAGTTTTAGGGCGATTTTGGATAAAATAAAATGTCAGGTAAATAGGTCTGAGTAGGAGAAGAATACTTACTCTTAAATTTCTATATAATCTTTCTAAGCAGAGTTATATTTAACTTACTAAATATTTTTTTTATCCCCAAACTGAAACAAGAAACGACAATTGAAAGCTAATTTTAAAACCCACAGGGTGCGTCGATTTACCCAAATGGACCCAAATGGCGACCCAAATGGACCCAAATGGCGATCCAAATGGACTAATAGAAGACTCAGAGATACTCTGAATCATATTTTAGTAAAATAGTAGTACGTGCAAAAGATTTTAACCGATAAGAAAAGGGTTGTTAGCCGTTATTTATACAGACACGTTGTATATGACATATTTCGAACGTATATGTATAAATAACGTTGCCCAGCTCTTGCCACGTGGAGGCCACCCATACAAAGAGCCATAATTTATGTTTTTGGGAAAAAAAAGCCAAAGTTCCGAAATGGAAAGTGTATAATAATTAATCCATACGCGTTTTAAAATTGATAATATTTTTTTGGTGTTTTTAAATATAAAATTGAGGGTTAAAAAGAAGACAAATGAATTTCAAAAAATAATCCATACTAAGAAAGTAAAAACATAATATTCTATATATATATATATATGTGATAGACAATATGTACAAGCACTAGAAATAAGAAAATCAACAACAACAGAACATTAAAGTATATACATATATATAAGAACAACTAACTATACGCACTATATCATAAAAAACTGAACACGAAAAAGTAAAACATTTATACATACTAATAGGCATGCAAAACAAATTTCTGTCAGATATACATATAAAAAAGGCGAAACATGTAACTATGAGAAACTTGAAGCCTACTATAAATATATCTATCTCTCTCTCTCTATATATATATATATCGAGAAAAAATGTAACACTACGCACAAAAAAAGTATGGATTATTTTTTGATATGTTTTAAAAAAAAATAATTATACGCAATAAATGAAAAAAAAATGTCAAAACTAAAAGCAGAACATATATACATAGTAAATAAAGGCATGCAAAACACAATAAAAATAAGAAACAATATAAGCTACTGGGTAAGCACTACTAGTATCTATTGTATAGGTAAAAAGGTAGGTAATATAATAAAATTTTGGTCGAGAAAACTGTTCTTAACGAGTTGTAAAACACGTCACCCTACCAGGGCCCAGACTCAGTTTCTCGCATAACCCCAAAATGTTAAAATATTACTTAAGAATTAGAATATGGACGTTACATCTAAGGAACACAAGAAGGAAGATAAATAAGTAAACATCATCAACAGTTTGTTTTATCAAGTGCACAAGAAAACTGTTCTTATCGAGTTAATACACGACGCAGGGCCCAGACTCAGTTTTTCTCGTACATTTCTAAAATTAAAATAAATTGAAATAAACTGTTTACATATTTACAGTGCAAATGATAATGGTAGATGATAGTCATATATGTATTTAGTTACACTTGTTGATATAGTCACGTTCTGGTTAGGCACACGCACATTAGTGGAAAGTCCGGTAATCATGCCTCTAGTCACAATCGGTAATATAGTCACAATCAGTAAATTTAAGTCACATATGGTTTATAGGCACACTCATTTAGTGGAAAGTTCTAGTCACAATTGGTAATACAGTCACAATCAGTAAAGTCACATATATAGTGGAAAGTCCGGTAATATATTCGGTTTCACGGATCGAAATTAACGCCTCACACGCTCAGCTCTCGGTCGTTTCCTCTGGTGTGGTTTCTGGGCTATCTTCGCGGTCGGGGGAACCTGTATAATAAAATAATGTAAAATTAACTGTTTGGATTGTTATTTGAAAGTGTGCATATAGATATGTATGTATATTTCCGGTTGTCCTTTCTTATATATTACTAAGTAAAGTCACTTATTTATTTAAATAAATTTATTAACATTTATCTTTACCTGGAAACTGCACTTCGTAGACTTGATATAGTTCTTCTTCTCGGCGTCTCTGGGTTTCTGCGACAGGAGTTTCCAAGTTCGTTTCCGTTTTTCGGTCTGGCTTAATTTCACCCATACATCTGGTGACACATGATGATTCTTAAAGGTGTCCTCTAGGATGTAGTTACCATTACCATGGATGGACCGACGAAGATCATTGAACTGAAACGCACTTATTTCGTTAATTTTGCTAATCAGGTCCGGGAGTTTATGTGGCTTCCAGTTTATTGATTCTTTGAGTCTGTTATTCATGGATTCCGAGTTATTGTTTGTCCAAAGCTCGCCCACTGTCCCATTTTGAAGAGGTTTGAAGACATGGTCCAAAAGAAGTGGTTTTAAACGTTTATCGAAATAGTTGCGAAAATTTGGAAATTTGGAAATACGACTCTCCATATCAGCAATTTTTGATTCAAAGGAGAACGAGTCATCACTGTTCACAAGTCCGTCGTAGCCGAATATTAGCTTCACAATAAACTCCCTTTCCTTTGCGCCACATCCCTCTTTGTCTTTCAAATAACGTCTCACATTGTCTTTAAGGTGTTTTGTGCACAGGAGGTGAACGGGGTCGTGGAATGCTTGTTGGATGGCATTTTTAATGGCCTTTTCTTCGTCACTGCCAATTTTCAGTTGTGATGGGTAACCTAATTTGGCGTTGAGATGACAGAGGAACTTATAGTAAGTTCCAGTTTCGCCGTCCCAGTGTAGAAAGGTAGGCCCGAGGAAAATTGGATTTTGTAACGTCTCGCGTTTTATAATTTTTTGATTTTTGTAGGTTGTTATAGTGACAAAGCAAGGTCCCAGATTTATAAATGTCCTGTCTATTCCTATCACACTGCCGTTGGTCACATTGCAGTTCGTCCTTAGATCCTCAAGTTGTTCGTCGGAATAAACAACGACGCTAGGGGGTTTTGATGGACTAATAAACACTTCCCTCACGTTGTTTTCCCCGTTCTGGCACATACTCAATACGGAGAGGACCTCATCAGCAATGTTGTGAAGTTTTGTGGTATGCTGGCCGTTGTCTGTCTTTTTGGAATCTCTGTATACTTTGTCCCTAATTTGCTTGGCATTTGGGGCGTTAATAGAATCCTCCAGCATCATCTGGTGACTGGTCTTGAGAGGCTTTTGGTGTGATTCCCTGGTGATTCTTGCTGCCTCTTGAAGAATGGCCGGGTCTGTGCGAACATAGGGAACAGATGCTTTAGTACAGTTGCCATGTGGGATCTTCTCAGAGTTATAAGAGCCGAGGTATTCTACGATCGCAACTTGTTCTTTGTCCTGGTGATGAGGTGGTAATTTTGTAAAGATGGTTACCCTCCTCTTGTACTCCTCGGCGGTCTTTAATTTCGAGTAGGATCGATGGCACTTCACAACAACGTCCTCTTCCGGCTGTGGTTTTATTGGAATGTAGTGTCTTTGATTTTGTATCTTCTTTTCCACGCACAGAAGGTTGTCCCTAACGACCACTGTTTTAAGAGAATCGTCTTTTTCTACAAAAGTAGAGTTCACTGTCGTACCGGCACGTCCCCATACACCACAATCGTCCGGGAACTCGTATTTGTTGGACACGGTCCTCTGTACAAGTACAAGTATATTTTTCATTTTTTATTTTCTAATCCTAAATGATAGAAACAATTTTAAACGTAAAGTTAAAATCGTATTTTTAGATGAAACGAGGTGTTCCCCGTGTTAAGAATTGAATGAAAAGCTTTAATTTAAATGTATCAACTTTATTTATTTACTTAATTTTTTATCTTTCAAAAATATATTTTTTTCAACAGTTACTCCATATATGGCTTTAATTTTTCATTTTATTATGATGGAATATAATGATATAATTACACATTAAGTAATTATGACACTTACCTTTAAACAGCAACTTCATTAGTTGAAAATGCAGCAATTGAAAAATACAGTGTTTATATAATCATTGGATCTCATCATTAAGTTCTCAATTGTATCGAAATATCTGAATGGTCCATCCATTCTAAAGAAGGTCATTGGTTAATAAAGTAATTATTTACTCAAAAAAAAAAACTTTGTGAAACTCTTCCTGATTGGAAAGCGTATTTTTTTAAATTTCATATTTAAAATATCTGAATATCTGAATAAAAACAAACACACACACTCATAGACATTTTCCTTTAATTTAAATTAACAATATTTGTATTACAATGCAAAAATATATAATTCTGTATATGTATAAGTGTATGTAAGTCCATTTGGATCGCCATTTGGGTCCATTTGGGTCGCCATTTGGGTCCATTTGGGTCGCATTTGGGTCCATTTGGGTAAATCGACGTGCCGAAACCCACACAACATTTCCGAAATAATGCTAGAGCTCTTCTGCATAAAAGATAGAAAAAAATCATATCCGGTAAAGTTTTCGAAGGCAAGACAAGCACGTGTGGACAGTGTTTACATTTTCTCTGAGGTGATCTATTCTTAATCATGGCTGAATTCGTGCAACAAAGCATCGAGGAGATGCTCCCCGAGCTCGAACAGATGGAAAGAATAGGACTGTTCACAAAGGCAGAGACAAAGTAAGAACTGGTCATAAAATGTATATACCTGTCAAATGTCATGTAAATCTGTCAGCATTAGAGTGTAAATTGATTTTATAGAGTGTAATTTGCATTTAATAATTTTAAGATTATTGGAAAGTTATTTATTTGTATGTATTTTTTCTTCATGCAAGAATGCAGAATGTGTTAATTAGGAATTAATGTTAGGTTCCATATTGTGTATTTCCTTTTTATTTTGTAGTCAAATATTAAAGAAAAGGAGGGCACATGAGTACAGAATGCGCAGAAGAACGAAATACAAAGAAGATTATATGCAATACATAGAGGTACTCACTTAATCTCATCAAACGTTTTGCTTAATTAGATATTTTAACTGAAGCTTTCACCAAATCTTCAGACTGTCATTCACAATTCAGGTCTGAAAATTCAGCCACAATAATGATCACTCATCGCAGTTGAAATAGAGACATACCTGTGTTTTGTTCACTACATATTTGTAGCTTAATCATCTTTCTAACTATTTCTGTAAATAAAATCTCTGTCTTTTCTTGACATAGTCTTTCTTCCACAATTTATACGGCTAGTGTATTTGTTTTGATTCAAGCAATCAGAGTTGGGGCTGAATTTCCAGACATGAATTGTGAAGGACTGCTCCAAGATTTGGTGAAAGCATCAGCCAAAATATCTAGATAAGCCTATTCTCTGCCAAGATTAGTACTCATTTTTTATTGAAATTTACAGCCATAAGAAAAATTGTAATCTTAATTTTAAGATCCCCTTTTGTAAAAATTGAATACAAAGATTGTGTAATGGTTTGGGCCATAGACATTGGATTGAGCACTTGACAAGTAATACAGAGATTTGGGGTTTGATTCCTGGTCCATCCATACATTTTGTCCTTTTTGGTTAGAGTTACATAATTTGGTGACTTATGACCATCCCTGGATTTGCAGGTTCTCCTGTAAATTAACCACTGCTGTAGTTCAGCACTCTATCTCATTGTATTATATTGAATATAGTACATGTATACTGAAAAGTTGTTAAGCTAAAAGTAATAATGAAGAAAAAAAGACTACTCCCAGGTTTGCACTAGGTAAAGTTTGCTGCCATGCGCTAGGGCTGTGCAATATTACCGGTATATCGGTATATCGCGGTATTATCCACCACGATAATATATCGCGATATGAAAATCAGATACCGGTATTTCACGATATTTATAAAAATATATAAAAACCTCCTTTATTGTAGAAACTGCTGAAATAATACTTGTAACTTCCCAAGGCCTTTTCAATATAGTTAAAAAATACTTCGTCAGCTTTCAGAGGCAGATAGAGAGAAAAGAGAGAGAGAGAGAGGAAGCTTTTCATTCACAATCGCAATTTTAAATATCTTACTTTAAAATAAAATTGATAATTAATAAAAAGACTTTTAAATAAAATTAATTAGAAAGAAAATATATAAAACATTTCTACAGGGTGTATACCATGTGTACTGTGGTTCTCAAAATCTCATGGAATCTACACGATCGCTACACGATCGACGATGAATGTTAAGTTCAAGATACATATTACAAATAAATGGCCATCCATGTTTTCACGTGATACAGTATTGCTTTTTATCATTTTTTAACAAGTTTCATGCCATTTTAAACATCTTCATGCTATACCAGGAGCATGTATATTAAAACAATAGAAATAGGTCAGTTGCAGTTCCTGATCATATGTCATAATGTGAAATTAGGTCGGGTCTGACTAAAACACCAAACGCCCGAAAATAGGTCACAATTTCTTTCTGGCTTTAATTTTATTCTGTGACCACATAAAATTTCCATATAGTATGTATTGTTTTAATCATTAAGTTACATTTTATGCTATTTCAATAAAACAACTCCCCCCCCCCCCCCCCCCCCCCAAAAAAAAAAAAAAACGTATAAAGAATATACCACGCATAAACTTTTTTTTTCAATTTGAAAATACATCAAATGAGTACATTTTGTTTTAATATTTTACCTGGTATTTAATTAAAGGTTATTAGAATTATGTGTGCAATTAATGTCTTATCCCCCCCCTTTGAACTTGACAGCATTTTAAACTTTCTGCACAAATTTATTAATGAAAATTAATCTACAATATATCGCAATATATTGCAATATTCAAGGTAAAATATTGCAATATATCGCAATATGGTTTTCACTCGCAATACCCAACTCTACCATGCGCAATATAAACTAAATAGATTGTGAATGAAGTGGTTTGGACCATGAATAACAGCCTGGGTAGCTCAGTAGGTAGAGCACCTGACGAGGGATAAAGCCGCATCATAAAGGGGTCACTATGTCCAATTCCCAGTTCAACTGTAATTTTTGTTGTTTGTTACAGTTATATTGCATTTCCCTTTGATTACTTTGATTTAATTTCAGTATGAAAAGAATGTATTAGAGCTTATCAACAGAAGAAGAAAGGTATTTACTCATTGTACATCATGGTGAATGTGTTTCATTTAAGCTTCTGAAGTATAAATATTATCAACTTTCTCTAATTTTTTTTTAACTTTCAGTGATATTATGATAATATCAATAGAGAAGAAAGTGATAAAAAAGGGATTAATTATGATGACATTTACATTCATATTTCTTTGTATTATAGAGTTCTGGAATCCATTATAAGAAGGTTGAAATTGATTATGCCATGGTTCATAGAATTCACAGACTATATAGGGTAAGTTTTGTCCATCTCCTCTTAGGGTTCAAAGGTGTGTCAGTTATCAGAACTATGATTTAAATCGCTAGCAAAAATGATGTGGTGGTAATGAAGTTTTTCCAGATAATGCAATGACACCTCAATATATATCCTGTATTTTCTTGTCTTTAAAAAGATTTTAAAATTTTCCCTTAATTTTTTGAACTCTGCTTAGATGGAATTGTGTCTGACTTACATTTTTGAGTGGAACACTCATGTTCTCAGAAACATATTTAACAGAAATATCTTTTTTTTTGTTATTGCAGCATGTGATTGCCAGGTTTCAGGTGAGAATATTATGAACCTTTGATATTAATTCTAAGTTGTTATTATATATCTGAGTGACACAACACACCTCTTTCACATATACTGTAAACCAACTTTTATTCACGACGACTTTATTTCGCGATTTACCAGGAGTAAACTAGTTTGTGACGATGAATTTTTGCGATCAAGCCTTTTTGGAACTGTTTTTTATAGAAAAAGAGACTTTAAGAGCCCGTTCGTGGCGAGAAATATTCGCGATGACGAGGCTCTCGCAAACCTCGCGAAGATTTCTCGCATGCGAATAAAAGTTGGTTTACAGTATTCTCAAAACAAAAAATTAGTTGACTTATATGTATTTATGAGTTAAATATATTTAACTCTTAATTCTTTCTGTTGTTAACAGAGTGATGTGGAATTATGGCTGTCGCACGTCAAGTTTTCTATTATGAGGGTAAGCCTGAGCTCTGAATAATTCCATAAATATTTGGTAGTAAATGAAGTTGAATAATTTAGAACCATATTCAACTTTGAGTGTTTTTTTTTCATATTAGATAATTTTTTTTTTGCAGAAAGAAAAACCAACTGTGAGCAGAATATTCACTCAGATGCTTCAGGTGCACAGCAAAAACCCAGGTAATGACACATAACTGTATACAGGGTTATTTTCACCCTGTGTTATAATCGCCCTTTTACACTTGCTAACAATTTTGCCTCATTTAATTTCATCCAGTCACAGTTCGGCTTAAGAATTCATACGGCATTCTTTGAATTCACCCTGTTAAAAATTCGCACACTTATGACAAGGGCGAAGGGGGCAAAAATAAAATGGGATTGAACATTTCCCTGTATACAGTACACAAAACTGTGTTTTTATCCCAAGCATCAACCTCAGATAGTAGTAGTAATCTTCATATATATATATATATATATATATATATAAGATTCATACTATGAGTTGGCATTAGATGAGATTTTTGCATATACCCGTAATTATTAGGTATCTTTTAAAGATATTGCATTCTAATATGTATAAAATCCAGCTTCTGCCTGGTATATTAGACAATAGTGGATTTCAACTTGCTTCTAAATTCTTTTTTTATATCTGTAGATTTGTGGATAGCTGCAGCTAAGTGGGAGTTTGAGAACAATAAGAACGCAGATAATGCCAGGAATCTGATGCAGCGGGGCCTGAGATTTAACCCCTCCTCCAAAGCTCTCTGGTTGGAGGTTTGTGTCTCGGGGACATATTTGATTTTTATTTTACTTACAGGAAACCAATATAAAGGCTTGTAATATTATAAAATTTTAAACCACATGTATATAACTGGCAAAAAATAGAAAATGAGTCCCTTATCCCTTATTTTTTTGTTTTCTTTAGTACTACAGACTGGAGTTACTGTTTGTGGAGAAGGTAAGGATGAATTAAAGTGTTCGAGGATTGAAAAATTCAAATTGTAAAACTGGCTTTTCATTCATATGGTACATAACTCTATTACAGCTGAGAAAGAGAAGAGAGTTATTTCAAGCATCAAAAATGAAGGTATGTATAATATATTGTATATACTGTAGGACTGTCTGAATATCTTCAAGAAAATCCTGCAGAAAATTCTTGAACATCTCTGTATGTTCCATTATACACCCAATTGTTATTGTAAAACTGTATATATTTGTCCTCAACTGAAAATGATTTGATCTCTGTAGAGTGATGATCAGGGTGACATACTAGAGGGAGCAATAGCTCAGATTGTCTACAGAAAGGCTGTGGAGGCTTTTCCAGGTACGTACAGGATTTAGCTGTTTATTAGCACTTTGTTTCCAATTGTTCCATCACAAATACTTAATGTATTTTTTAAGCCAAGGATAATTTTTTTCTTTTGATGGCTATTTTTACCCTTCTATATTTAGGTGACCTGAAGTTTTCCCTCTCTTTTTTGCCTGTATGCAGGACGTTTGATTTCATGTCAAAACAGGAAGATGCCATGCTTGAAGGGTAAGCTTTTCTCACTACCTCCCACACCCTTCTCTCTTTCCCATCCTTCCCCATTTATACCTCTTCCTCTCCCATCTCTTCCTCCCCCTCTCTTTCCCTCTCTCTACCCACCCCATGTCTCTCTATCCTTTCCCCTCCTCCTCTCTCTCCATATCTCTACCACCCTCTCAAGTCTTCCCTCTTTCCTTTTTCTGCCTCTCTGCCACTCCCCTATCTTTCTATCCTTCCCCCTCCCCCTGTCTCTCTATCCTTAATTTTTCCCACCTGTTTCTCTATCCTTCCCCTCTCCCCTCTCTCTAGCCTTCCCTCTCCCCTCTCTCTAGCTTTCCCTCTTCCCTCTCTCTAGCCTTCCCTCTCCCCTCTCTCTAGCCTTCCCTCTCCCCTCTCTCTACCACTAACCTGTCTCTATATCCTTTCCTCTCCTCTTCTATCTAACTTTTCCCCTCTCTCTACCACCCCCTCTCTCCTTCTAGCCTCCCCTCTCTATCTTTCCCATTCCTTTTCTCTACCTCTCTCCTTACCTCTTCCCCTTTCTCTACCACTCCCCTTCTCTTTATCCTTCCCTCTCCCCCCTCTTTAACACCACCTTGTCTCCCCCCTCTCTATCACTCCTTCTCTCTCTACCCCTCCCTCTATTATTCCTCCCCCCCCCCCCCCCCCCCCCCCCCCCCCCCGCCCTCTTCCTCTCTACCTCTCCACGCGTTCTCCCCCCTTTTCATCTTTTAATTTTCTGTATAAACCCTTACTTTTGATTTTAACTTTGTGTCTTTCTTCCTCTGATGATAGTTTTTAATTTGTCTGGTGTTGTAGATTGGAGACACTCTATCCCTGTGACCCCTATTTGTGGGAGGCTAAAGCCATGAGACAGCTAGACATTGACCAAGATCATCCACTGGGTAAGCTCGAACCTAGGTATATCTTTTAAGCTACATAATAATCTGGAAAAGCTTGACATAAACTTTTCTTTAACCTGTATAAGCTGAGTGAGGTAAATCTAGGCTTATCTTAAAACTATATATTAAAGCTGAACACGATTCGTAAAAGGAATCTGTCCGCCATTTTTGTTCCCGAGCCATGCTACCCTGCAGACCCCTATAAATAGGACAGAACTTGGTCACTGTTCAGTGTAATCAGTCAACACCGGTGAAGACGGACGTATCCTGTACAGAACTCGGTAGCGAGAATAATAACGTAATACTTCGTCTAATGCAGGAAAATAAGATACCAAATAAGTTTACAATTATAGTTGTATAAGTCAGTGCAGTATACAAACAACACAGATAAACGCAACTGCGATAAAATATAAACAAAGGTAATGCAAGATAACCAGTACGAACACGGGTTGCCATTCCACGCCAATACCCGTAACAATAAAGCAGTCAGGTGTAACGAATGCGACGAGTATACCCTAGTATTGATGTATCGTAGATAATGCTATCAAAAATGGCGTATGCCTATTTACGAGTTGTGTTCAGCTTTAAAGTATAAAATGTTTCAGGTTTATGATAAATCTTCCTGAATGTGACTTATTGATGTTGATGAAAATTTTTTATGCTTTTTCAGAAATGTTTCATAAAGTTTTTGAAGAGGCTACTAAAAAAGTGAAAGAGGGTAAGTGGAGTCTTTTTAGTGGACCAGTGCAATACATTCTGCATATACAGTTGAACTTCGTATCTTGTACATTAATATCTTGAATACCTTGGAAATGTTAAAGTGATTTGCAAGTCCCAACCACTAATCCTTTTAGCATTTTTAGGTCACCTGAGTAACTCAGGTGACCTATTGCGATCCGTTTTCGTCCGTCGTCGTCCGTCGTCCATTGTGTGTCAACATTCGAACATTTTCAACTTCTTCTCTGAAACCACTGAACCAATATCAACCAAATTTAGTATACAGCATCTATGGGTGAAGGGGAACATAAATTGTGAATTTCATGGTCCCTGCCCCCCTGGGGCCTGGGGGGTTGGGCCAAACCACTAAAATTATTGCAATCTTTAAAAATCTTCTTCTTTACTCCTGGACATCAAGCGGGCAAACTGGTGGCATGAATGTAATGAGCATTGAGTCCTCTACCAAAATTGTGAAATTTATGGCCCCAGGATCAGGGGTTCTAGTGCTAGGGAGGGGTTATATAGATTATATAGTGAAAATGCATTATTTCTTTTAAAATCTTCTCTGCTTCTGGGTATTAGATAAACTAACTAAGTAGATAGTTATGATGAGCAAGAGTGCCTCTTCCAAAATTGTGAATTTTATGACCCCTGGATCAGGGGATCTGGTGTTAGGATTGGGCTCTGTTGATTATATAGTGAAAATGCATTTACCAGTATTCTTTGAAAAGCTTTTTCTCTGCTTCTGGGTATTAAATAAACTAATTAAGCACATAGTTATGATGAGCAAGAGTGCCTCTTCTAAAATTTTGAATTCTATGGCCCCAGGGTCAGGAGTTTGGGTGTTAGGGCGGGGCTCAATTGATTATATAGTGAAAATACATGAATTCTTCGAAAATCTTTTCCTTTGCTCCTGGATTTTATGCCAGTGATCCAAGTATATATATATATATTTATGATGAAGAAAGGTTCATCTAGCAAAATGGTTATTTTTTATGCCCCCCCCCCCTTTGGGTCGGGGGGGTTGGGGGGCTAAAGTCTGAAAATAAATTAATGCTTTGAAATCTGCTCCTTGGTATTAATCAACCATTTTATGATAAAATTTGCAAAATTATGAAATATGTGGCCCCAGGGTCAGTGGTTCTTTTGGGGTGAGGTGCAAAACTGGTTATAAAGTGGAAGTGCATTTTCTTTGTTACTGTGGTCTACCTCTGGGTATTAAGTAAATAGAATAAGCATGCTAAGTTTATAGTTATGATAAGAAATGGTGCCTCTTTCAAAATTGTGAATTGTAAATTTCATGGCCTCTGGTTTAAAACACAAACCAAAGTTCATTGTTTGAAAGTTGTTACACAATACTCAGGTGACCTATAAAGCCCGTGGGCCTCTTGTAATTTATAACGTTGATATCTTAAATACTAGAGTACATGTATCTCAAAATTTTTTCATCAGTCCCAGTGAGTTTGAGATAGGAGGTTTGTTGGTAATATTTTATTTACCTGTATAAATAAGTGTATATAACTTTGCACTACCATTTGAATACAATACAGAAAAATAATATGGTTGAAAATATTTTTGGAACAGAGGATTGCTAAAATCATGTACTTCTACAGTGATCCTGCCAAGTTTTGTTTCTGTTTGGATTATGCCTCTTGGTTTGTTTGTTTAGATTGCACATTAGTCTTTTACAATATCACTAAAATTAAATATGCAAAGTGAACATTTAAATCAAATTTCTTTTCAGATCATGTGAAATAAAATGCTTTAAAACATTTTAGTTACAAAAAAACTTTACAACCCAAGCAGGTGCTTGAATGTTATGCATAGAATGTAACAATCTCCTGCTTTAATAATCATGATATATAATAATATCAATGCACAAATCCAAACGTTTTCACCTCAGAAAAATGATACTTTTCTGTTCTATTGAAACACCAAAATCTGAGGGGTATATTAATGAAAACTTATATATTTCTTTCATTATTATGGAACTTATTCCTTATTTAAAACGGTGAAAAAGCCAAACAAATTATGTGATTATTTTATTAGAAAATAGGATTTTAATACTTTAATTCTATTCTATTGAAATATTTGATTTTCTTGCTCGGTAAGATATCACTCATAAAACGAATGTGCACTTATTAAAACTACAGAGGCTTATAAATGAAATAAGTGAATCTTCCATGATTTTTTTTAACAGAAAAAGTTCCATAAACAATCTTGTTTGCAGATGTTCTCATGGTATGATATCTTCAGTGAAATATCCAGAAAGTTTTTTGACAGCAATCTTTTAAATCTGTCAATATCTCGGTAGAAAATTGGATAGCCAGGGCACTTTAATCCTAGCTGCATGTCAAAGTTATAATATTGTATGATCAGGGATTGAACAAGGATTTGGTGATGAAATTTAGAAAGCAATCATGAAAAATAAACCTTTGTCCGATATTGACTTTGTATTAAATTTAAAACCGTTTTGCGATTATCAAGGTGCACTCTGCCAGCAAAGATTTATACCGGGGTTTTGGGGACCGTAATTTCTGCAAGGTGCCCCTTATATTGGAGTGGCTTTTCAGGTTAGCTTGTCATTTGAATGCTGTCATTCACCCCTCAGAGAAAGATACGAGACAGACAAGGAATGGGGTTATTTCTCCGGCTAATTATTGATAAACTGTCAGCTCGGGAATACCCGCGTACTTTTGTAGCGATAGTGAGATGATGGGTCTATACAGGGTGGGTCTGATGAAGGATACTTGACAAAACAATGTGTTATCTGTTGCAAAAACCGCAGGCCGCGGGGATCAAAAATGGCTTACAAATGGCTTCCCTCGTCTCATGAGAAAATGGGAATTTTTAGATGCTCAGAGTATTCACAGTTTTAAGATCTTACTGTTCCAAAAAGAATAAATTTTAATGTTTAGTTATTTTCATGGTATTTTTCAAATAATTGATCAATAAATTTATAAAAAATTATGATGCAGGTAAACTTGAAGAATTTTAATTAATTCTTTTATTCTATTTATTTTATATTTTAAAGATTTAAGAATTGCATGGAATTTGTAATGCTTTAGATGTTTTAAAACTTATTTTAATTGTAAATATTTATTGGATGACATTGTTTATGTTCAGAGATCTTCGTGCAAATTGCTGATTGAAAGAAAATAAACCTTTTTTCACACTTGTAGTGCAGAAAGATTATTCAATTAGGTTTGTGTTGAAAAGTGAAAAGCGAACTTTAAGTGGTTGTAAGAATTTTTTTTTCTCTCACAATTTAAAAGAATCCAAATTTAGATATTAGTGAAAAGGACACATTCCACTGAACAAAGATACAGTACTGTCATCCATTCAAAGGATGTAAACTAAAAAGTTTTCTAAGGCAGCTTCTGTTCATTTTTATGTCGATGGTCTAGGGTCCTCTTATGATGTTGATAATGTTTGTTCAATAGGAATTTCATTCCATAAGTGTTAAGTCTTGGCTATGGGTTCATTTTTCACTGTAGTTAAGATATGATATTGATTACAATCTGAAGAAGGCAACATGTATTTTAAAGTACATTCTAACAAATATGATTAATAGAATATGACTTTGTTATATTGTGGTCATGCAGTAAACAGTTTACTTTATATTGTTGTCATGCAGTTAATACATTACATTGTGCTGTGGTCATGCAGTTAATACACAACATTATATTGCAGTAAACACATTACTTTATAATGACCATGCAGTTTACATACTCCATTATATTGTGGCCATGCAGTTAACACATTACATTGTTTTGTGCTCATGCAGTAAACATTACATATTATGGTCATGCAGTAAACACATTACATTATATTGCAGTCATGCAGTTAACATACTACATTATATTATTGTCATGCAGTTAACACACTACATTATACTATGGTTATGCAGTTAAAAATCTACATTAATTTGTGGTCATTTATCACACTGTTCATATTGTAATCAGCAAAATAAAATATTTGAATATCTGGAGATGTGGTGATTTCAGGCCGTATATTAGTAGTGGAGAGGGAGGAGTTAATGATATCTGGCATATGATGCCGGTCCAAAATATTTTCCAGTCCAAATTAATTTTTTTTTTGACTTGGCATTGCAGTTCATAATTGTCTCTTCAGTATGTCCAATTCGTATTTTGAATTAAATCATGTCAGCTAGCAGTAGGTCTTAACAATTGTGTTCTTTGTAATATAAAGGACAAGAGTTGGCAGAGACTTCCTGTGTGAATGAAGCGACTAAATTTTCAGTGAGGTATTTTATCCAGACTGTCTTTATTAATTTGGACACCTTCCATTCAGTCATAATTATCATACCATTTTAGATAAAAATAGAGTATTGTTCACATAACACATTAATTTTGTGAACATCATACCATAGGCTTATTAATGGAGACATCCCAATTTAAATGAAATTAGGTAATAAATGTACCATAATAGGGAAGTCTATATTCAGTAAATCACCAGTAATTATTTATCAGACATTTATATCTCTTTGGATACAAAATCATTGAATACACTGCGTATGTAAAGTTCTGATAGTCAAACATTAAATTAGACTTTTAGATTGACGTAAAGAAAGTCTTAAAGAGAACTTTTTGAATGAGAGATTATTTTACACTATTATGAAAGTTCAAGCAGGATTAAAATTGATAATCAAATATTATTTCGTTAAGGACAATTTCTGAACTTTTTTAAAAACATGAATAAGGTCTGACAGTACTATTTTTATAAAAAAAAATAAAAAATAAAGAAGAGATTGTGCTTGCTTGCCATTTCATTATAAATACTTTAGATCACTTAATTTTCGCAACACCTTATTTTTGCGAGATAGTCATTGATTCTTATTTAGCGAGACAAAATTTTCACGAATTCTGGTTATTGCTCTATATAATCTTAAAAAATACTATTATGTGCGAGAATTTAATTTTCGCGAGCATACTGTCTCGCGTAATTACGCGAAAATAAATTTCTCGAGAATAAAAAGTG